ACGCAAGGTAGGCGGCTGGCCGCAACTAGTTACTGATAGGGAAGAGTGCTGAGCTGCATTTTAATGAGTTTCTCTGTTCATGTTCTGTACAGAAATTATTATTGAAAACCTCATAGTACATCAGAATTGTTATGTCTATATTATAAGTAATGCATTTTAAGATATGTTAAACATTTAATTTTAGGTGCGACCCACAGAGGCTCTCACCATCCAACATTACCCATGCTCCTGCATTAAAGAGCTGTGGATTCTAATTATTCATCTTCTTGAAAACAGAAGTAAAGTTTTGCACACACAGGTAAAAAGACCAAATGCAAATATTTGTCAATGTTCTGTATAAACAAATATATATATTTTTTAAGTCTTTCTGGAGCTACATGAACTCATTGTTGAGGCCCCTTGTTTGTGGAAAACCAGCACCAGAGCAGTTCAGTGGGATGCCCACACACTGTAAAGATCCTCTGGGATTTACTTGGTGGCTTGTTACACATATAGCAATCTTGGGAAAATACAATCGCAGTGGGGCAATTCAGGCTGAGGTGAGACAATGTTACTCTTGACTTATAAATAGCTTAAAAACAGTATGAAAACTAAATTTCCACATTAACGGCAGCGCATTGAAAACTGGACATTAATTGAGGAATTACTGAAGATCACCTGTAATCCAAAGGTTTGTTTGAGCTGTATATTTGTGTAAAAAGATAATATTTATTTGATAAAACTTATGAATGTTTTAAACTTAGGGGAATCTTGCAGAGGAACAGGTCCGGATGCATGTTCATTTCTGTCTCTCTGTGTGTATGCTGTGGGATCCGAGCACTGTTGCTGTGTCTACCCTTTGGGACTACTACAGCAAAAACCTTGTACGCCAACTTCAATTTAATAGAAGTTTAATTTAATCCACAAAAACAAATACATCAAGTAATATATAAATATTTTTTTCAGAATGGCTCTTTCACTGTGCCCTGGCTTGGAGTTGCTGGTCTTGGCACACTGTGTAAGTCACCCCTGGCTCTGCTGGATCAGGCCCGGAGCTGCTCTAGTCCATCTCCTCTCCATTCTCCAGGACACACACAGCTTTATCGCACAGCCAACTCATTCCATATCTTCCTCCGAATTTTGGCCCTGTGTCTCTCTCAGGACAGAGCAGGCGGAGTGCCACAAAGGCAGATAAAAGGAAGGTAAAATGAAAAAAGTTATTGTTCATTGTTGTGGAGTATATTATACTGTTCCTCGTTAGTACACAGATCCAGAGATAATCTTTGTGACTAATGTTGTGTTTGCATGAACCTAGATTCATGTGGTGTGTGTGTTTGCACACAGTCATAAATTTCAGCCTCATTCATGTGCATGCCAGGTGCACCACAACCACCTAGTGTGTCTTTGATATTTACTCGGGCCACCCTGAGAAGCAGGTGTCTCAGGAGTCAACCACCTGCTCCTCAGCCCAGACCAGTGCCAAGGAGCCTTCTACTAACGTGCAAATACATTTCACACGTAGGAAGCAGCTGCCTGCTTGTTGGGTCATGGTTGTGTTTTTATTTTTTTTATTTATGTCTTGAAAGGAAGAAAATAGTAACCAGGCTGATGAGTATCCACGCATAGAGCTGGACCATCCTATATCCCAGCCCGGCTGGGTGCCAGCGAGAGGCAGCCATAGATAAATCCGCCTAATGACTTCCCTCTGTTTGGAATGTGCTCAGTAGCTCTGCAGACATGGGGGCTAATTAGCTAACGAGCGTGGCGGTTAATTCGCCTTAACGAAGCTGTGTTAGTTTCCAACATGGATAGAGCAGGGAGCTTAGGTGGTGGGAATATGGGGGGTTGGTGGGCAATCTGGCACTAGTGAGACTGGGCTGGGTCCGGTCCAGCTTCTCCCCCTGTGCTCCCTCACGGCAGCCATCCGCTCTACCTCCTCACTGTTTGAGGTGTGAGGCATGTTGTCTGCATTGCTTCAACATTTCGGCAATGTTCCCACTCCTGGCCTGGCTCGGTAGGACACCCGCGCTGGTCACGTTAATGGGATCGACTGCAAGCATGTTGATCTCCAACACCAGGAGTGAGAAGCATCTGCTCGCCTGAGGGGGAAAAAACTGTCCGTATTAAACAAACAGACAGACAGACAGGTTGGAAGAACATGAAAATCCCTTGTGTTGCCTCGCCGTGTGCTGCTTATATCCATGTTACATATTGACTATTCATCTATTTAAATCTTCCTTTACTCTCACTCTTGCCCACCCTATTCTCTTATGGCCCTTTGTGGATGTAACTGAGCTGATTTTAGAGTTAACCTGTCTTTTACAGTTCCTTCCTCAGTTTCCCACTCCTATACATCAGTCATACTTCATACACAGAGTTTGTCTCGGGATGCTCCCCGCTTGTGTTTTGACCTGAACAGCAGCTCTTTTCACCTGTGTGGGCTGCATCTGTGTTTGGGGCTGGGGCAGAAGGGGTGGGGTGCTCCAGCGGTCTGTGTTTTCCTGCCAGGCAAGCAAACAGCAAGCTGGTTGCGTGGCCATGCATGTGTGTATGTGGGTTTTATTGATCTCTCTCTGGTGTTGCAGTAAATTGGTTTGGCTGAAGAGAGAGGGACCAAGCGCCTACTGCTGTGTGTCTGAGTGTCTCTGACATTTAACATGATCTTTAAAGGCATTTCTCCACAGTGCCCGCAGGATCTAACAGCGTGCTGGGTGTTTGTCTATTCTTATTCCCTTCCTCACTTTTCCTTTCTGTCGAACATACTGAAACACATGCAGCCATGGTGGTCCAGCTGTGCACCTGGAGCTGAGAGACTGCTTATGAAATGTGTAGTGGATTTGGAAAGTTCAGTTAGTCAGCACTTAAATAGGAAATTGCATTTGTGTGTTTCTAGTAATGTCTTGTTCAATTTATGCTCTGTAACTATATTGCTTTAATTCTAAACCGATCTATGTACTGGATTTCATTGATAACACTCAAATCTTTTACGTTATTAATTCATATTTTAATTTAAATCTGTGATTTCAGAATTTATTCCAAGTTTTCCTCAAAGAAGATGCAGGAGATGTCTGAGGCTGGTCTCATGAACTTCTTGTTGCTGTTTATTGTGGTGGCGAGACAAGTGGAGCTGGAGGATGTTGCTGGAAGAGCATGTGAGCTGCTCGGCTTCCTTCCATCTAACTGTCCCCCTGGCCATCGCACCCTGATCTGGAGAGGACAGCTGACGCTACTGCTGTTGTTTCAGGTCGGTGAGTGCATTGGTTGTAATTGTGAACAGCGATTATCAGAATAATTTGTTTAAGTACAGGCAGTGCAGCTAAGGCAAAGACTAAATAACATTTATTTGTTTGATTTATCAAGGGCCATTTAAGTGAGACTAAAGTTGATCAATGAAGGGTTAACTTTTGTCATTATATATTGTCAAAAATGGACAGTTATCAGAGAATGTGTCTTGGTAAAGTAATTGATTGTGCAATTAATGACTTTTAGGAGAGAGGGCTTGACGTTGGTGCCCAGGCCAGTTGGCTTGCCTCGTCTTTTAATGAGATCGCCAAAGAGTTCTACAATAAAACAACAGAGATGTCCCGTAAACTGGCCCTGTGGGGTCCTTTGGGCTCATACCTGGAGGGAGTGGCAGAGGTGTTTGAGACCAGCACCAGTCTGAGCCTCTCGGAGGAGAAACTGCTTAATGAAGGCTTCGACTGGTTACTGCCTGCGTGCCGCCAATCAGACTTAAATTCTGCCCTTGGCTTTCTGCAGACGGTCCTCGCCCAGCTCAGGTAGGAAACTTTATTTTACATCCTCTCAGATGACTGTGATGACATCCTTTCAGATATCTACATGTTGTACCCAGTACTATAGTGTACTTTGGTTCTATATCACTATTTGGCTGAAGAGTCTAAGAAAAGTGACTATCCAGAACATTTTATTGCATTTCCTGCATTTTCTTGACGAATTGACAACTTTGTCAAGTCCTCAGAGACTACTGCTATTGTGAATTCGGTCTGTGCAAATCAAATTGAATTGAGTTCATTTATAAAAAAAAAAAAAAAAGAACAATTATGATTTCATTTATTATTTGGTTGGTAGTACAGTACATGTTAATGAACACATCACTCCGGATTGTTGCCTTGGGCCACATTTACACTCACAAACACACACTCATTCACCCTGAACTGTGTGCACATGTTTTTAGTGGTAGGGGAAACCGGAGTGTCCTTAGGAAACCTACGCAGACATGGGGAGAACATGTAAACTCCACTCAGAAAGGCCCTCTTCCGACCGGGAAGATAATTTAAGATTCATATATTGTAGATCAGGGGCCAACACATGGTAAATCCAAATTAAACACCATATTTCAGCAGTTAAAATCTTACAAAGAGATATTTTATATTTCCACCCTGAGCAAAGACAATACCACAAACAGCTCACATAGTGTCTCTGTAACAATAAGAGGGTTGTCTATCTACAAAGCAGCTCCATACTGTGGTGCTTTATCTCTTGTTGGTCTCTGGAGGAAGAGTGGCCCCCAGCTCACCCGTCCCTGATGTCGGCAAATGCTTCTGTTGGGTTTGTTGTCGGCAAATGCTTCTGTTGGGTTTGTTGTCCTGTGTCTCCTGTTCGGGGCCTCGTGTTGTTGCGGAGACACTGGGTGTTGAGAGATTGAGGTTTGTGCGTGGCACCAGAGCGAGTTCAGGTTTTGGGAACTGGTGTGCATTTCATGGTGTGAAGGTAAATCCCTGGCCCAGAGCAGAGTTGTGTGGAGTACGTTACTCCTTTGATTTACTTGAACTTTCCCCGAATCTTGATATAAAATTTCACAGTATATCTACTTATCAGTCTATTTCTATTTTTGGTTGATTAATCATTACAGAGTAAATAGGGATTTCATCAAAAATACTAAATGTACATACGTATGAGTCTCAAAATAACTTTTAATAGCGTTGCATGTTTTGAATCATATGCATTGTCCTGATAATGGATATTGGTCACATTGGAACGGAGACAATTTTATGAAGGATGAAGCACTGGTTATGGGAATGGTACAAGTTTTAAAATAATGTTGTTTTAAAGATCAGAGATGCTTTTGTCTTTCTATATAACTCTTCTCAGTTGGTTGGAAATATAAAAAAAGAGAGGACTTTATTTATATTGACTTCTAATCAATGCCCTAGTTTTTTATAATTGGCAGTGAAATGGCTGCACTATTTACTTATAGCTTTCAAAGGTTAATAAATGAACTGATATGCTAAAATAAGGACATTATAAAGGTAAGTGCACTTATTTATGTAGGCGTATGGTTGCGTTAATTCTCGGGTGTATACATCTATCCTCTCCAGCCTCCTCTCACACTGACCTTCCCACACAAAAAAAGTGAATTTCCAAACTCTCCTCTTATTTCTCCGTCTGGCTCCCTTAACATGCTACCTCGTTAGCTTTGCCTAATTCCCAAACTTCTCATCTCGGATGTTGGGGTTGGAGGGCACACATTTGCACATTAATGGCAGAGGAGTAGTAGAAGATTCGTCCCAGAGCTTCTGTGCATAATGGCCCAGACCACACACTGACCCATTTAACCAAATACAAAATATTACGCTCACTTGCTTCAATCCGGCCCACCAAATTAAACATAATTCCTCACTTTGGCAATTCTTAGTATCTCTTTGTGATTAAGCGTTTTCCGTGACTCAATTAATCTGTAATTATGCCTGAGAAGAATTTTGCCCGTTCATCATTATGTCTCTTAAGAGTTATGTTGAATCTGCATTATATTACTGCATTAGGAGAATTATTTCAGAATTGGACAAGGAGCATACACGCAGCACACGTGGTGCTTGTGCTGGAGCCAGGCCTTGGGTATAATTACCCTGTTTTATTCCTTCCCATGATCCTTTGCTGCGGGAGATTTTGGGTGTTGTTACTTGATGAGGTGAGCTGGCACTGGATCGGCCTATTGGATCTGTTTTCAACACAATCAATTAATCCCAATCTCTTTCGTTCCACAAAACGCGGGCCTTGCTGTGAACCATTTACTTGCACGGAATAGTAATAGTAATACAAACAATGACTTTTTTAAAAAGTACAAAAACAATTGGTTAGGGAAGATTGATAAGGATTAGAGGTATTTTTCAGGGCCAATACCAATACTCATAATTAGGAAAGAGGGGTAACGACTGATATATAGAGCTAATTTGCAATAACTGAAAATATAGGTGTCAGAGCTTTGAATTATACAAACTCCAACTGTTTGCTTGTAATGCCTGAAGCATATGTTTAATTACCAAAACAAATGGAAAATGGGAGATTAGAAAAAAAGTACCACATAGAGTAGATGTTTATGTAAGAGCATAACAATGAGGAAATGAAGCACTGGAGACTTCAGAAAGGATCTGACTTGTAAAGTTTTGACTGAAATAAACCAAAGTAAATTAATCTGTGTTTTGTTTCGGCACATCTACAGTGAGTAGGAATGTGTCACAACCATAGACTGTATATATTAATGGACAGAGTCACGCCTATCTCCGCCGTTCTAACTAATGGGCCAAAAAATGTGCTCTACTGGAGCAATCCAAAATGGCCGCGAGTGGTCCCGCCCACAAGAAAATTGTGAAAAAACGCATCTGCGCATGCGTCAGCCGGCGCAGCTCCATTCATTTGAACGAGAGACTTCAAAAATTCACAGCAAGTAAACTAGAGTGGACCAAAAAAATCCACCCCCCTCAGCATTGACACACATGTGGAACGGAGCTTTGGGCCAAGAGCCAACTTTTGGTCCATCCCGTAAAGACGTTTTTGAGAGGCCTGCCAATGCTATATGTTAGCATTGGCTAATTCTACTTCTGGGTCCACCCCCATCGGCCCGGGGTGGTATTGCAAGCATGTCAGTGCACGTCATTTTGGCCACTTTTGAGCTGGGACCCTCCCCCACTGGTCACAACATGAGAGTTGTTGTGCAGTAGAATGACACATGTTGTGTAACTTAATGTTCATTTTCTTGAAAATGGATGGATATGATGATTGAGAACGGACACGTGATTTTATGAAACGATAAACTATATATTTCGTTCTTTTCGATAGGACTCTTCCACAATGGAGCAATATGCTAAGCGTACAATGGGTGGATTGGACCATTGGAAAACTGGATGTTTGATCTGGTCTTACATTTGTGTTCATTCTTGGATTCACCAGCAAAGCCATTTAGTGTTTATGGCCTCAGAAATGAAGTCATTTGATCTTTGCAATTCATTGACTCACTTCAAATAATGATCAAGCACTAGAACTAGCCTTGAATTAACTTTTACTGTTTCTCTTTACAATTGATAAGCAATCAAATTTGTTATGGTTCAAAGTGTCTGAGTTCTATTTACTTGTCACAAAAATGAAAATAGCGGTGAATTGTTTTGGTCCAGCTTTACCTTGCCTTTGAAGTCTCTCGAACCGTTTTCTTCTGTATGGGGTTAAAGCGTTTCTAATAGTGTTTTGGTATCTTCAGCTTGTGTTGTGTGTACACATTTTACGACATTGCAGCGGTGGAGGATTAAGTGGGGTCTCTGACGATGTCTTGTACAATGAGGGTTGATGGGTGTGAAAGGCCCATCCTGCAGCAGTAACGAGGCTAATGAATTCAGACTCTAATCGATTGTCTCAGTTCTCTCTGGATTAGATGCAACCTTGCTGGAAGGGAAGGCACCGCTGCTGGAGAAGTGTGTGCGTAAATGTGTGTAGAGACCATAGTGTAACATGGAAAGGATAGAAGGGGGGGGGGGGTTTGCTACTTGCTGTATCCTTTCCTTTCTCCCCAACACACCTCAGCGCCGTGCACCCCCATCTGGGCCAAACGGGGGGACAGGAGGATCATCTCCAGTCTAAATGAGATTACAGCTCCTTCAGCTGCTTATCTGGGCTAATGCCAACCACTGTGGGGCTGCTGTGGCGGCTGGGGCTCGAGCCAAGGATGAGCCAGAAAAGCTAAAGTATAGTCTGTGTACAAGGGATCAGCATTACTCCCCAGTCTTTGCTATAATATCCTGCTCTCTCTTTCCCCACCTCCACCTCCACACTACAGCGCACCGCCGCACCCAGTAATCCCCCAGGAGAGCAGACAGAGAAAACACATGAAGAGTGAGAGGAGCAGGGGAGCTAAAGGATTTGGGAAAGTTGAGGGAGGAGTGTTGAGCACTAGAGACACGTTTGGCTTTAGCATCGGCAGATTTGTTTACGTTTGTCTTTTTGTTTTATGTGTCTGTGTCCTTCCAGGCGAGTCCATCAGCCCAGTGTCCATTTAACACCTACCCTGACCCGGGCTCCTGGTAATGCCAGTATGGGTAAAGAGCGCCACCTAGCGGTCGCATCTGCTCTCTGGGCCCACTTCTACCCCTTTCTACGTGGGCTGCGCCTCTCCCAGACCCCTCCAGCACAACTAGCAGATGCAGCTGCAGGTCAATATCTCAGTGATACTTGTATGCAGAGCAGAAGTGATGCAAAGAAGGCCTCAATGGTATTAATTTGGCAAATCATAAAATCTGACATTGTAATGGGGGTTAAATTGGCAAAAATGTATAAAGAGAATAGAGATAGAATATGCTGAGTTTGCCCAAACCACCTCGAGAGCATCAACGTTTTTACATTTGAGTGAAGTTTGAAATGTATACAGAATAATTATTTTCAGAATGATCCTTTTTGAACATCACACTGACACCAGATGCAACGGCCACACGACTGAATTTAGTTTATGACAAATTATTCATTTGATTGCATGAAACCATCATATCAGTATCATCACTTTTGCTTTGAATCGTGAGATTTGGGAATCATGACACCTCACATTTTTCAGGCCTGCCTTCATGATTCAAAATTCTTTCCTCTTTAGGTTTTACGTTACTGGCCTTTGATCTCCCTGGCACTGCCCCCCAGGACCTGCAACCTCATCCAGTCCAGTCCATCATGCAGTGCTTTGGCTGGGACGACATGATTCACCCGTTTTTAGTTACCCGCTACCTACCCCACATTCTCCAAAACAGGTATTTGTTCTCTTTGTTCTCACAAACCTCTTTTTCCCTCTGCACTCGGGAGGAAACATCAGGCCAGGCAGATGGGGATAATGTACACCTTTTTACCTGTCAGCTGTCAAGCTCCATTGCGTTCCCTTACACCTCTTGACAAAATACTTCCACACCAGTCCAAATGGTATTTGTGAAAGAAACTAATTATTTATTTAGATTGTGAGCGCCCTTCAACAGTTTGCTGTAATACTTCATCTGAATATGAAACTAGTGCATCCTTAAAAATACACTCAAGGGTACTGGGAGAGAATATTCAAAGCTCCCAGCACTGCTGAGTGATGTGAAGAGGCCCTACCTGGATTTCATGGCACAACAAGGACGGTTTATCTTTGAAACATGTCATTACTAAAACTACGTGACACACATGATCATAGTGGGAATGTAGATTACAATTTATCATCACGCACTTGCACACTGAATAATGCATTACATTAAAATTCATTCACTCCATATCTAGTGGTGGTAAGATGCTATTGTAGTCAGTTGACCAAGGTAGACTGTCACTTTCAGTAAAAGTAAAGTAGAAAAAAGTCAACAGTTTTGAGTTGGTGTGGCATTAGTGACTTGGTCTGACCTAAGCTTAACAGTTCAGATCAGGGATGTCAAATTGCTTCCAGAAAGGGCCGGTGTGGCTGCCAGGTTAAGACTCCAGGTTAAGACTGGACTCACTTGAGTAAATGGGTGTTGTCTGCTGTGCTCCTGCTTGGTGGGCATAAAATCCTGCAGCCACACCGGCTCTTTAAGAACTGGTTTGACACTCCTTGTTTAGAATGACAAGAAAGTATGGTCTTTTTATATAGATAAAAAAAAAAAAAATCGATCAGGTCAAAAAAGAATAAGCATCTGAACTATTTTCCCGCACTATGCTGATAAAACATCCATATATTTAATAAATGCCTTCTGTCCTGTACAGTGAGATTGTAGCATCTCTGAGCAGTGGATCCAGCCCTGGTTCATCTGGTTCAGGTGTTAGTTTGTCAGTGAGAGCCTGGTTTCGCTGTGTCCTGCAACGACATCTGCACAAAAACCAAGATGGGACTGACAACAAAACAGGTAGGATTTCGGGTCATGAAGTTTTTGTTCCCAAAGTTAAGTTAGTTTGACTATTTGTTATTTTTGTCATTTGATTTTCCTTGTTTTTCACCTTCAGCCAGAGCAGTGGAGGAACAGCTGTGTGAGTTGACCCGACTTGTTCTAAGGCTGCCTGAAGTGGACAGCCTCCTGCAGAAGGCCGGACTACAGCCCACAGCCAACAAGATGGAGCCTAATGCAGCTTTTGAGCTCTTTGTGAAGGTACAGAAGTTGGTTGCGTAAAAATGTAGTTTAACATCACAACGATCGTTAGAACAAACAGACCTTTTCACTCACAGTTAACACGACTTTTGGCCAGTGATATTGAAATATTGTCTTTTTTTTGTTTTTCTGTTTACTAGTCTGTAGGTGTTGCGTATAGCAGACTGCAGGTCCTCTCTGAGCGCTCAGCAATGATCACACGCGCTCTGGACTACATGGGACATATATTTAAACACATCAAACCCTCTTTAGTCAGCAAAAATCAGGAAGCTCTGCAGCTCACCTATTGGGCCGTAGGTATGTTCCAGTAATTTTAATTTACTTGCATCCTGTTTTGACTTTGACTACATACTGTGGCTACATTAAAGCGTTGTTGTTTGAGATGTTATTTCTGTGATCCAGGCTGCATAGTGAAGCACTGGAGCCCCCTGTTGGCCACATCAAAGGCTCAGCAGTTGCTTTTCCGAATAGTTGACGGACTGCTTCTTCCTCACAATGTCACACAACAAGACAAGGCACTAAGAGACAGCCTGCCACTGTTCTTGCAGGTGAGAATACAACAATAACTAAATGGATTATAAATCCATGGATTATAAATTATATTTGTATAATAGAGTTCTCGTACAGGGATCAATAAAGTATCTATCTATATCTAATAAGGATAACTGAACTACAAAGAGCAAGGCATTATTTAAAGAAATTAAATAAGACTAAATTACAGTCACAGAATCATGTCTGGTCTATATATGGAACCAACAGTCAATACTTAAACATGGCTAAATATGCTGGGTGTATTCCCTGATCTTTCCTCTAGGGTTTGTCTGTGGCCTCCAGTGTGTCCCAGTCACAGGGGGCTTACCTCAAACAGCAGCTGCGTAACGTTACACGCAGGTACTTGGACCATTTCCTCCCCTCGTCCCCGTCTCTGGGAGCCATCGCCAACCACCCGGTGCTGCTCAGTGCATGCGAGTCCAGCCCCACCCCCCCAGGAGTGGTGCTGCGGAGGACCATTCTGGAAGTCCTTTGGTAAGTCCAATATACAATTGACAATTGCAACAATTTTATTTTCCTCGTAACTTCCGAGATTTTCTTTTTTTTTTCCTCAGTGAAAGTTTTCTTCAATTCAAAGGTTATGCACCGCCTCCACGGTTGGCGTCAGTTTTGATGTTTCTTTGGGAACTTTTGAGACGAAACAAAGACACAGACCCAGCACTGCTATCGCTTCCCTTGCCCTCTATTCTACACAGTTTGATGCTTGTTAATGAAGGTAACATTGTTGTACATAAGCAGCACAATGCCAATATACATTGTGTACTCACAGTATGTTCAAATGGATCAAATATATACTGAATACAAATATATACTTAAAATATATATAAAGTTAATCCACATTCGTATTTGAACTTGCTTTGAGGACACTCCATTAAACATGTTGCATGAAGTGTTTTTATTTACACTTCAATACATTTTTCTTTGCCATAATCACATCTTTGCTGACTTTCTTCATTATGAACGATCTTTTATGAGTCTGACTAATTGTATCTATGTGTTTTTGGTGCTCGTTCAGTGAGAACGACGAGCACAGATGCCTTACAGCTTGTAGTGGAGCGCTGTGCTTCTGCATCTGCAGAGGGACCGTGTGAGCAGATGATCACTGTCTTACGGTAATTGACAATAATGTCTGGCAATAAATGCCTACACCTGTATGTGGTTTGCATTGCTCTATATCGCCTCAAGCAGTTCAATATAGAAAGTAAGAGAGTGTTGTGAATGTAGATTATTTTATTGCTCTCATATGGATTCCAGATCAGGCGCATCCAGTTAAAGGGATTGTTGTGGTTTTGGCTTCTACAACAACTCTGTGCTTTCTTTGTGCCATTTTTGTGTAGTGATAATCTAAGTCTAATATTTTAACATTTAGCTGTGTGGACTAACTTTAACACAGTTATGTTATATTAATAATATTATTAATTGTGTAATATGTATTTTTAGTTATGTATTTATGCGTATGTCCGCATTTTTAAATTTTGAAAGCTTGAGTTTCTTGATTATGGCTTGATTTGTGCTTATTGTCATCATGGGACAAATATTGAGTAACCTTATTCCTGGTCTCAGGGCGTTTGTGAAAGAGAACGAGGGGGTCTATGACCGGCAGCTCTACGGCGTCCTGGAAACTGTGGCCGTCTTAGACCCTGCTTTGGTTGGAGCGCTCATCCCTACTCTGTCTGCGAGTCTGAGAAACACTGAACACAAGCGAGGACTGGGAAGGAACACCACTCTGAGGTGAGCAGATGAATCATATCTTCAAAGCCATGCAGAGTATCCATGGCTATCAACTATTTTTGAATTGTCTAGACGTCTTGGAATGTGTTACGAGCTGAACTAGAAAACTCCATTGGCTGTATGCTCTTTACCTTTTCTTCAATTTCAATTGCTACAAATTGTGTCTTTACAGGAGCGCCTATAAGAAGTTGCTGTGTCTTCTCGGGGAAAGTGGGCAAGCGGAATTAATAAGCCTGGAAGAGGACTGAAAAGTTTGAGCTTCAGGAGTCTACATCAGCTCTGAAAATCGAGTTAGTCCTCCTGGGCTTTTTGCAGTGCTGTGGATTTCTGAGAGACTTCCTACAAACATATGCTATGAATCTTACTTTCTCTAAGGATAAAGCAACAAAACTTTAAATATTATAGTTTTTTTCTATAATTTTTCCCTTACCATGTGTTGTATGTAATAAGTGTGTCTATAATTGTATAGGAATGCTGGATGGGGTGGCTGTAAAAGTTGCAAACGGTTGTTACGTCTATGTACAAGACACTTTTTGTGATTGTGTCATGTGAAGTCTTGAGTGTTCCAAAAAACACAAAATAAGTGCTGTACATTTTATTAATTTAATGCTGAAGTATTTGTTGAATTGGCAGCGTGCATTCTTGCATTCATAATATCTGCAAATATGAAATGGCCAAAAGTGAGTTATTTTCCGTGAATCAAAAACTAATAGTAAATCTAACAACAACAAATACATTTATTCTATCTATTGTTACGTTGGCCAATGTATTTGTCAGGTCCAGTACTATAGGTATGTGTGATTATGTAGGTACTGGACTTTTTTTAAAGATTACTTTTCAAAATTACATATCTGGGCGAACCCTATATCTTTCTAAGCCAAAAGAAGGGAGTTGCCTCTATAGAGTACTGTTTGTTCCCTTTCTCTCTCGCCTTGCCAAGTCGCAGCAATCTCTCGCAATCCGACTTTAGTTTGCACCTAATCACACCAAGTCTCACTCCTGTCTCCCACAATCACCCGGCTCCATTTTCTGTCATTGCTAGTCATTTTCCAGCCTCATCAAACTGCAAAGCATCCCTTCATCTGTGCTTTCTCTGCCACACTGCATTCCTCTTCTCCAATGCCATCAGAGCTTGTGGGGAGGAGACTTGCAATGGAGGTGAAGCATAAATTACTTTTCAATTTTCAATTACACAGATTCTCCTGGGTACAGACACTACAGGAGGTGCTCCCAAGTATTCACACAAAGGAAAATATTTCCTAATTATTTTAACATATTATTGGTTTAGTCCTGCTTATTTATCTCTGGTGATTTCTATATGGTATAGTTATGGTTTATCCTTTAAAGTTCTTGCTTTGCATCACCATATGTTTATTACATTATAGTTGATTTGCAAGTGCAGTAACCCTCAAACAGCAGTAACAAGAAATTAGTATTAGCAAATATGTTTTTGTTTTGAATGATAAAATGGGCGAGGAATTATTTAAATGTCCCCCGAGAGCCTTCACTTTAGCTTGGTCAAATAAACACATTGATAAAATGATCTAAATAATTGTTACAGCTCGAGTAAGCGCACCCACCAGACGTCTCAAACTTAACCTATTTTTGGAATGCTTATTTTCTGCTTGTACAAGGAAGAGTGTACAATAAATGCCTCAAGTCACTTGGTTTTTCATGCAACAATGGACTAAAAGATGATCACTAAGAATAAGTTCACACTTGGTCTGAATCAAACCGGTCTACAAGAACCCAAGACGAGAGGAAATGGTTGGAATTAAAACCTACTGCCACATCTGCCCTTTCTGGAACCAGTTTGACACCCCTGGTCTAAATGAACCGATCTCTGGTGCAACACTAAATGCTTTGTGTAGATTAAGAAGGCACCAAATAAGTGCACTTGGTGCAGTAATCATCAATCACTGGTTGGATCAGACATACAACTGTTCTCTGTCCTTTCACGCCACATCAACATTCATCTCAAACTCGCCTAGACTAAATTTTCCATGTAATTTTTGGTCAAACGTGCAAATGCTTTAAATTCAATGCCCATTAGTGCTGTAATGAGTTCCACTGACTCGCTGGAGTAAGAGTGTGTAGTATAGCTTTGTACAGATCTGCTTTTTAATATAAAATAAAACCTGTAATCTCTTTAATACCACAAATTTTTTTGCATAGCCTTGTTTGGGGATGTTTATTAGAATATCTCTCACAAACTGTTGGACAAACAAGGAAAAGTGCAGTGATCACATTTTGTTCATGATAAAACAATGGAATGAGCTTCACATCAGATACAGAACTGTGTATACACCAGAGAGAGAAAGGAACAGAAGTCACAAAAAAGATTGTTGACCAAATCTTTCAGACATTTCCAAAATATTCAAAGCATTAATCAATGTATCTATTTCATGGGGACAATATACAGAAATCAACATTTATCTAAATGTTAGCTGTACTCCCTGGATAATCATAAATGCATGATTTACTGCCTGTATTGTCAAAAACCTCTGACAATAATACACAGTGCTGTATTTTGTGCACAAGAATTGAAGCAAAGGGCTCTGGGTGACAACATTCACATCAGCTTCACGAGTTTTAGGTCCTGAGTGTAAAAAGTATTTAAAACACACTCATTATAGACTTACATCCAATAAACAACAAAGCAGATAATTAAAGCAACAATTGTACTTCAGTCTTTATTTTAGTACCAATACTTCCTTTATTAAAGTGCAAAACTAAAAGTTTGTTGAGCTTTGTAACAATAAGTTAAGATATATTGTATATAATAGTATAATGTCAGGTTTTATGAAGCTACAGCTCTACAATGCAGCAGGTTATTGTGTGTTGGCTGTGAACACTGAAGCAGCTCAAACGGCATATTCCTTACCAGATTCAAGGTCTTTTGGGAAATTCTTTTCTGAAAGTGCAAGCCAGCTCCTTGGTTGAGAGTTTCATATAGCTTGCCTTACAATACAATAGCATCAGAGGAAATTCCAGTTGTGTAACATATGTGTTCAAAATTCAAAGTAGTAAAGTTCAGTCAGCAAAAAAGAGGACAGTCTTTCAGGGTTGCGTTCTTCTGTATTTCAGCAGTGGTTTAGACAGCACCAATCCTGTGATGAGGAACTTGCAGTGTCTGTAGGTTTGGGCAGGTGAAATATGGAGCAGGGAGAAAACAGGTGGCGATTCCATTAGAGGCAAATGGCAGTGTTGGTCCATAGAAAACCTCCTCCTTGCCCTCCATACTCAGATCTAGCACCTGGAGGGAGGAAAATGGAATTATAATTTATGTAGCTGCTGCTTGTGCTGAAATATTCCAACCAATTTAAAATAATAGCTTGCATTCATGTGGCAACATTCCAAAGAGCAGGTAACTGTCAAAAGTCTAAAGTTTAGTTCAACACTACAATCACTGCTAAATCCCTGCCTTAAAACGTCAATATCAGGTGGTACCAGAAACAAACGAGTGCCACCTCTCCTTTCAGGCTCAAGATTCAGATTTTGTATGGGGTTTTTTCCAATATTAATTGTAATTTAACTTTAATTTAATGTTGTGCTTATGTTGCAGACTTTGGTTTTTCCACATCCCTGTTACATGCATCTGCTTAACTTAACTATAAAAGAGATAAAAGGTAAATAAAAAGTGAATAATCAAAATAGGTAACAGAAATAAATACCAAAAAAATCTAAGGGCCGTTGTACAATAAAAAGTGTCCTGGATTTAGGAGCCATTCTGCTACTTTGACGCCTAAAAGGGTCAATATTTGTATCCTAACATTTGAATCATACGTATTTAATCACTATTATTATCTTTGACCAGCCAGCTCTGTTTACTTTGATGAAGACACCCAAACGTGGAATGAGCTTTACTGAAATTGATCATTTGAATTGATTTGTCAGCCTTGTACGTCACTTGAGGCTGTGTCATGAGTTGAGATGTCAGTCCAAAGACTCAATGAAACTCTGACCTGTTGGGGACACTGAACACGGAGGACACAAGTCTAAATTGGATCAGAAACCGCGGCTGCACTATCAATAGACTCCGAACAGCAGTACCGGCGTCAATTTATCTGATTAGCCTCAAGTGTCTCAAGCGTCCAAATAGAGAAGCTCTGTCTCACCTGAATGCACGCCAGAGGCTCGTTGGTCCAAATGGAATACCCTCCCACCACGTAGATCCTGTCATCGTGGACCGCCACACCGGACTCGTTCTGACCTGAGGAGGGCACAAATGACACAGTGCTGCAGTCTGCTGAGCTCAGGGCATTCTGACAATATCACTTCCACGTCCCCGAGAGGGCAAAGGGGGCTGGAGGAATTAGTTAAAAGGCCCGCAAGTAACTTTGCCGTGAACTTTTCCGTGAAGATTCAAGGGCGCAGGTTCACGCTTTTTAAAAACTAAAGCTAGAGTGGAGACACAATGGATAATGAAATTGAATAAGAGTAATTGAACCATAATTGTCATTGTATAATAACACATTATGAGCTGTTTTATGGAGAATAAGCTCATGTTTGTGTCATTGCATTATTTTAAAGATATAATTAATTGGTTTCAGTGACTCCAAATATATCAGTATTGTTCTGCATTTGCTTTGTGTGGTCTCCAAAAATGTCCATTATCCCACTATCCTGAAGCTCCACCCACTCCACGTGTTTACTTTCTATTTCTAAACCTATTCCTGCATAGGTTTCCTCCGGGTGCTCCGGGAATGGATGGTGTTGAATGGGGGCTTTGATACGCCAGTGTGTTCGGTATCTCGCTTCCATCATCACTGTGTGTGAATGGAAAAAAATCTCGTTTCTGAACATTGTAAAGTGTTTTGGGTGACCTTGGTCTGTAAAATGCGCTAAAAAAAAAACAATAAACAAACATTACTTACTTACTGACTATTTGTATAAAAAGCAGCCATATATATTTATCTTTTTTTCCCAACAACAAAATCCTCTGCATTTCGGTGCAGAAAATGAAAAATCCCTTCGCTAAGGGGTAATGTAATCACCCCTAAGCGATGGGTAAGTCTTGTCTGTCTTTTAGTTAGCGCCTCAATTTTTATGTGTAGATTTTAACAATATTTACAGTAAAGCTCAGAAATGGGACAAAGAACCAAATCATGACATTTTGAGAAGGATCCAGATTTTGAAACTGCTTGTGTTTTTGTATTGACTTTTATTCTGTTGTTTTATGTCATATGTCTTCACATTTCAGAAAATAGAATAGCATAATGTTGTTTGTAGAATAAGTTTCACCAAAAGGTTCCCGGTACGCCAATTCTGGATAGTTTTTGTTCGACAGTGTTGTGTTCTCGGCGCACCTGTGAGCAGACTGAAGGAGCAGCGCGTCCACTGGTCCATGTCCATATTATAGGAGTCGATGTGCCTGACCAGGATCCGGTCGTTGTTGTAATCCAAGTCGTTCCCGCCGAGTACGTAGAGATGCCTCCTCGCCGCCGCCATCACGTGGTACACTCGCCTCTGTAACATGGGACTGCGCGCCAACCACTGGTCCTGGATCAGACGTGTGATGGACGGTGCGAGGCAAGCGGGCGGAGTGATAGAAAGAAGAAGAGGATGATGAAGGTGGAGAGGTGTAGTGCAAAGAAGCCAGTGAGAGCAACATAAGGGTGGCAGGGGAAGAGGAACGATGAATAAGAAGATTAATATTTAAGCAGATCCATGCATGGGTAATTGATGTATGCTCAGGGCTAGATAAATAACGTGACACTGGAGCTGTGGTCTCTACTAATGACTTCCCTCCCTATTTCTAATCATATGTTTCAACCACTCCATTTTACACCGAGGATCCCTGCTCATTTCACCAAGTGTGCCGAAGCTTATTCTATGTCTGTGTTCGTACGTGTGTGTGTGTGTGTGTGTGTGTGTGTGTGTGTCTGTGTGTGTGTGAGAGAGAGAGGGTGCGCTTGATTGAGGCGGGGAATGTGTGTGCGTCTGCTGGGAGCTGACGGGTGGCCATCTGTTGAGGGGAGAGTGGGTGGGGGGTTGCTGTTGCTCTGGCAGGTGAATGTAGATCCGTGGTGAATACAAATGAGATGCTCCCTCACTCTCTTCCTACTTTTTTTTTCTTCCGCTGGTTCCTTGGTTCGTTCCCTCACTTCCCTTCCTCGCAGACGTGTACAAACACAGGCCCATATGGAGGTGCACCTTACGCGTATATGCACTCCCCCACATTATATACGGCCTTAACAAGATCCAAGCGTCTTTAGCAGCTGGCTCGTATACGAACACAAACACAAAGAATCGTGCATTCCTTCAGTGAGTCCTGGATCGTGGCATTCCAGAGTGCACAAAAAGGCAGCAGAAGGATAGCACATATTTGTCATTATATGGGACAACACTTTTTTCATGTTAAATACATAAAAACAGCAAGCAATATGTCTCTTTAAGACGGGGCTAAAGTCTGGCTCGTGGGCCAATCTTAGTCCTCCATTTTAGTTGGGCTTTTGCATTTCAAACTCAAGGTATTGAGATCAAAAACACAAGTCTAAACTTTTTTGTGAAGCTCACAAACATCTTTATTCCAAATACAGCACTAATGTAGCAAGGGAGAAAGTAACTATCATTCAACTTCGTCTCTGTCAAATGTGAATCAATATGGACTTAAATGTTATACCTCATATTAAATCTCTGGTTGTCTGCCCCTGGACAAGTCTGGGTAAGTGGCCGCCTCTTACTAAAAGGTTTAGACACCCCTAATGAAAGATGTACTACAGCAGGGATGCCCAAACCTTTTAGTAAGAAGGCTACTTTAATTCACCAAAATTGTCCAGGGTTAGGGCCAACAACACGAATTAACTGGTATTGGGCTGTTCTGTGCTTTAAAATGAGGTATAATATTTGACAAAGCTCAAGTTGGCTGAATGATGGTTAGCTGTTGTTTACTCTTTTCTGTTGTTTACTCTTTTCTGATGTTTACCCTTTACAAATCAGCGCCATGATATCGAAAAGAAAGGTTAGTATGTCAAGTAAAGTCAACAACTGGATTCCAGGATCTTGAGCTTCACTATGCAGGCAGAGCTGAGGTTGGCTGGATGATTTTATGAACTTGTCTTTATGATCTCAAAGACGAATTTGGGTTAGGAAAGCAGAGGGTCAAATAAAATGACACAGAGGGCTACAATTAGCCCGCGGACCTTAGCTTGACATGCCTTTACACTAGTATATTTGTAAGGATTGTGAATCAATTATCAAATATTCAAATATTACACCAAGAAATTACACATCTAAATGTTAATATAATTCTCATGTAGTCGATAATTTGAAAATACTTGAAAATGATCTGAATTATCAAGATTATGGTATATTTGTATCCATACTTCAGGTGTGTCTGATGTTTCCTACTATTACATACAACCTTCCTTTCATATTAAAATGTACCCCTTACTGTAGATATGATTGTACTCGTGATGTTTTATAAAATGCAGCCGTGAAAGTAGAAGTTTTGCTCAGTTTACTTTAAATCTATAATGTTTTACTGATTCCTTTGGAGAAATTACATGTGTCTCTAACACTTATACAATGGGTGATAAGAAAGCATATTTCAAGGTATATGCTGTTAAACTTCACCTTCTTCACATTCAGTTCTCACATGCTTCACTAAAATGCGTTTCTAATCATTTCCATATGTTACAAAAATCAATTAGCAGGATCTTGACACCTGCATGTTGTGTAATTCATCACAGTGAACAGAAGGGCTCCATTAATTTCCCATAGTCTCGTTATAGCAAAATATTAATGTAGTTCAGCCACAATGCTTCACTAAATCTTGGCGTATACTCCTTCTGCCCATATGTTTAAAAAAGGATAGGATTGTTGCCCGTAATACTATATGTATAAAAATAACCTAACTTAAAGCTGTGTTACCTAACTTTTCTTTGACCATAATAATACTGTTTATTCACCTGAACAGAAAGAGACCACAACAATCACAATTAGAATACATGTTATCTTGTGCATACTTATTAGCCCAAAGCATCAAATAGTGACTCACTGGTTTTTTTTTCTGAGATCTGTTTGGCTGAGTGAAGGTTGGCCTTTATTTTGAACTTGATCTAAAGATATGAAAAGGTAAAAAATAAATTTGTGCGAAAAAGAGTGCTAGAACCACTCTATTTAAGAGCCAAGCTCTTCATTTACGACTTTCTTACAGCTTAGATTTGAGTACAGACACAATGGTATAATGGCTTGATAGAAATATTGTAAAACAACAGTTATTATAAATAATATAAACAATTATGAATGTACCTGTTCAGGGTCATAGACCATTAGACGATTCTGGTACTGGGCTGTGTTTGTTACTCCACCTGCAGACAAAAACAAGTGTAGAACTTTAAAAAGCAAAATGTAAGATTTTCCTGTCAAGCCATCATTAAATGGCCCTAATATGTCAAAATGCATTAATAAACCATGTTCAAACCTTTTCAAATACTTCTTTAACTGATAACAGTAGTTCAGCCAAGTCATTCGAATGTCAAAATTAGTTTTACAGCCCCTATTTCTTGTTATTGTTCTCATTTTGATGTCCCGCCCTCCACCGTTTTACCAATCAGAAAGTCTGTGATCCGGGTTGCCAGAACTCACCGCGTCAAGCTAATCTCACTGGTAAAGTAACATGTGGCTGCAGGACTAAAAAAGCTCTTGTTATGATTTTCAAATCATTATATGACAAAACAAGGATTAACATGAGGATTTCTATCGGGCCTTTGTGAAAAGGTGTTGGTTATAGATTGGTTGATGACAAAACTCTTGTCTATTCAGTTATTATGGTCCCAGCTGGATTTGTCTGCATATCTGGCAACCTAAGTCAGGGAGAGTGCAGTACCACTTTTAGTCCTGGTAATTTGATTCAGAAGTTTAGAGATTTGAGAAATACCATCACTTAAACAAACCCCTGATGTATTATGAAAATTATGGAAGCTCTGCTTTTAATACATCTCCACAACACAAACAAAAGAGACTGAGGTATTAAACTGAAATACCTGAAATCCAAAGCAGGTTGTCAGCCACACAGCCAGCGTGACAGGAAAGTGACCGATCAAAGGGCTGAACGAACATCCACTTGTTCTTCTTGGGACAGTACCGCTCCACAGAGGGCAACACCTGTCTCAGCTCATTCCTGCCACCTACTGCATACAGGTACTGCCCTAAAGCTCCTAGAACAAAATGTTCTCGACAAACTTTCATCGGAGCGATATCAGTCCATCGATTTCCTCTGGGGTCGTACCTACATGCAGTTCTGACGGCGCATGTCCTCCCTGTGGCGTGTTCAACTTCCCCTCCCACCACAAACAGAAAGTTCCCCATCACAGCTACACAATGGTGGCTCCTCCCAGTGGGCATAGGGGCAAGTTCACTCCAATTGGATCCTCCCGCTACCCGTACATGATCCTGGGCGGCAGGGTTGAAGTATCTCAGCTCACGCACTCTGCTGACTTCCCTCTTCCTCCCTCCGGCAATGTACAGTGTCAGAGACTGAAATCTTGGTCTCGTTCTGGCCGACTGCTGTAACGGTTGAGAATAGGTGGCGTGGTGGTAGTCCAGGGCTTCTTCCACCAGGGCGGCAGCAGTGGGACTAGACTGGACCAGGGGGTGATTTCGAGCGAGGTATTGCAGTGTTGGGACATCCATGAGGCCGTATCGTACATTCTGGAGAAGATCTTCAGTGTACTGGTAGCGGCAGTCGTGTTCAAGCCACAACACAACCAACTGGAGAAAAATACAAAAGAAAATGTCAGACAGGGATCAGGAGAAAGGAGCAGTAAGTAATTATTGCTGTTTCAACAAAAGAAGAAATAATGATCTACATGAGTTATAGATAAGTGCTATGAAAAATAAGTAGCATGTGAGTATTTGAGGAACATAGACCAATTTATCCTAATACTATTGCTAAGGCAACTAAACCTGAGTTATCGCCCACTCCTTCCACCATCATTCATTTACGCACACACCATTCATACAAGGTCAGCTGGGTGAAGTGTCTTGCCAAATGACACAAGTGCTGGTCCCCACTTTATGAATGAAACAAATAAATGTTCTCCAGCGTGAGATCAATAAAGTTTATCTTATCTTAATTAGACATTTAAAATATGGATCTAAACATCTGCTTACTTTACATTAGGCCTGGGGCCATCCCTGACTGCATTACGCTGACTGCATAAGGCGAGACAATACAAATTAATGGGTAAAATATATATTTTAAACTCAAAACGCCACCATCTTAAGCAGTAGGTGTAGTGACTCTCAACAAAAATGATTATTGGTAGGATTACTGGATGTGATTAAATGGAAAGCCGTTTCATCTGTGCAGAGAAGAGAAGTTACTGAACTTTGTGGAAGTAAAGGAAACAGGTGGTACATTGTTTTGAATACACCGAGTGCTTGACAGAGCTCACAGCTGAAGCCAATAGTGTATGGTGCATGCATTATCTCAACCCAAACAAAGCCACCTTTCTCCACTCTTCTCTCTAATCCACTAAAGGTGGAAATATGCGACAAACGTGCAAATCCTCTCTGCGACCGTACTGGTGAAACTACTGTGTGTCTCACTTGGCCATACCCCCTTTCTTTCTTGTTCTCTCCCTCATCTCATAGCTCTGAAATGAATGTGTGTGTGTGTGTGTGTGCATGTGCACGCACGATTGTGTGTGGACGTGTGCGTGTGCACATGCGTTACAGCAGCTGACTGTGAAGGTCACGCAGCATCCACAACTACCTCAAGGCACCGAATAAATCAAGTCCTTCTCACGGCTTCTCCTCTACGCTCTTTAAAGTGTTAGGACTGTGGCTTTGCGCGTGTGTGTGTGTATGTGTGTGTGTGTGTGTGTGTATGCGTGCGTGCGTGTTTGAAAGAGGGGCAACACAGGAGGGTTAGGAGGAAACAGGAAAAATTAAACTGATATGTCTAAGGCATGGATGGTCTGAGGTTGTGATCCATCCATCTTCTTCCCCTTACTCCATTTCTAGGTCGGGGGTGGCAGTCAGAACCAGTACACAGAGTACCAGCCCCTCACTGATCCTCCTGCAGGTGGTTTCAGCGGGGGCTTCAGGCAAAGTTGGGTTAAGTGTCTTGCTTAAGGACTCAACAACAGCAGACATTAGTAAGAGTCGGTGGTGAAGGTCTCGTGATGGGCTCAAACCCATGACCTTCAGGCTCAAAGGCCAATGCTCTACCAAGCATTATACTATTTAACATAGAATTGACATTCTTTGACAGAAATTACGTATATTAGATGAGTTTCTGTTGATTATCCACATACCATCCATGCTTGTGTGGTGTCAATAGGAAATGAATATAGTATAGGGAATGATGAGTGAACAGAATGCAGGGTGTCTCTGTCAGTCCAGTGACTACCTGGCCCATAGGTACTGGGAAGGCTTTCACACGCCTAGTCACAGAGAAGAAAATAAATGAAAACAAAGCTTGAGCATGAAAACTCCCTGACGATGATTGACGGATGGGCTATATCAGTTTGGTATATTGTGCCCACTCCCTCCGCCTCCACACTTTGGGACGAGGTTTGCCGTTTGCTTCCGTCTGATGGCCAAATTAACCTTCTGGGTGAAGTGAAGGAGGCCCAAAGCAGCCTAATCAGAGGCTGATTATGGCAGCAGCGGATGGCTAAAGGGTCAGGGTAATTGTGCCATCAGAGGCCTGATTGTTTTCAATCAGACGGCCGGCCGAGTGACAGCTGGGGGATTGGGGCCCTGATGGAGCCGCGGTGGGCCTAATCAGAGCGAAGGGGTGAGAGACACAGAGACAGGGAGAGAGACGTACAAGGAGGGAGAGTGTTAGTGCAAATGAACAGTCAAAACCTCACAGTGTACTGGCCGTTTTTACTCCACAATCTCTTCACACTAGTTTATCAGGCATGAATATTCACACACGCACAGACTAGAGAAGAGATGATCACACACACTACTGCGTCTTCATATCTTCAGCAACATAAACAAACAGCGTGAGTTACAGATGGCAGAGTTTAATTTGTTACTTATTAGTCTACCTGCTTTGAGTGCTGTTTATTCTTCCCTGCATCTGGAGAATGTATTACTGTTCTGACTGCTTTTTGACACCAATATATAATTTGTATAGGGTTCATAAGCAGATTTCTTTTCCTTTAGTTTTCCCTAAATTACTTACTTTAACATATTTTACTCTCAGGTTACACTTCTAGGTCTATTTTAAGTAATAATAAATTGGAATAACTAGGACTAATATCATCCAGATTCCACTTGGCTATGAATGGAAACAATCTAAAGGAATGATGTATGCATTTACCTTCCAGATGTCATCCTCACTGAGGGAGGTGAGGCGGTCGCTCTTCAGGACCTCCCGGAGCAGGCGGTAGGGCAGCTGCAAGGCCTCCTCCTGCCGACTCTGGCTCAGCTCAGATAGATGCTCGACCAGGAAGCCCACCACTGCCTCCTCAAGGGCGGGAAGGTGGAAAAGGTCAGCCACTCGGTACAGCTCCAGGTAATTCACACTGCTCAGCTCCTGCAGGAAGAACACGTGTAGAGTCAAAACACACAGACAAACCGAAGAAATAATATCGCAATTCAGGTGTGTAGGCCTGTGTGTTTTTTAGCACACATGAAACAAAAAATGGGAACAAAATTTGAAGAGAAAAAAAGGAATAGCATATGCGACTTCAGCAGCATAAGACTGCCATCTTCTGGCCATTTGAATATTAAATCAATGTGCACAAGCAATAACAGGTAAGAAAAGCTTGCAGGATAATGAGATGATAATTACAGCTTAAATGAATACAGAATAAGAAAAAAAACATTTGATTTATTTCTGTAAAAATAAATAAATAAATCTATAAAGTATAATTATTATCATTATTCACATTAAAAGAACATCTCCATAATAATTTCAAAGAAAATTATAATAATGAACGCATATTTTATCAAATAAAACACCATCCATCCATTTTCTTCCCTTTAATCCATTTCTGGGTTAAGGGGTGGCAATCAGCTGCCATCCATTTCACAGAGCACCAGCCAAATAAAAACACAATTTCTAATATGCTGTCTATCCCAGCCAGAAGAACCCTCTTAGATTAATTAAAAACAATTGCATGCCATATTTCAATAATGTTATTGTATTCATGAACCAACCACAGACCACATCTTTAAATCTAAACAATATTTTAAATAGTGATTTTATACTGACAATTAAGCCCAGCAGCCACTAGAGGGCGACCAATACCTTAAAATGTTGGGGTAAGATTTTGAAAAGACATAATATGTATTAGATATATTGATACTAGTTGATACATGTAAAAATCCAATGCCATAGACTGTTGTCATGCGTTTCTGCTGTAACATGTATTTGAAGATGAGTATATCATAATCCAATAATAATCTTTGGAGCATGTTGTATTATATAACTCAAGTGGTTTTGCAACGTTCTTAACCTGATTTCCCCGCGCATCCTGCAGCATCTGTCCCTGCACCAGAGGAGAACAGTGTGACATCTTGTATTCCTGTTGGTGGCCCACACAACACATGATGTATGTATATGTATGAATGAATAATTCTACAATACTAAATGGTAATCAAATTGCATGATCATGAATTTTACACAAGATCACATTTTCCGTAAGCGCTGATGATGGCTAATTATCTTTGAGTATAATTGGTAGGTGTGAAAGCCAGACATGTTCTGTCAATATCAGACTGGAAATGTAAACATTTTGCTTAAATCCAATTTGTACTTAAAACATGAATCTAAAACCAAGCAACAATAGGGATATTCTTACCTGGATGAGGTAGTGAGAGCAAAGGCCTAAGAGCTCCAGCAGCTGAAGGTGGCTCCCCGCAGACAGGACATCTTGTATGACCGCTGGCTCCAGAATGATCTGACCACAGAGACGAAGCAAATACTGTGTGAGCCGTTTTACAGAAAGTTTACCAAAACATGAAAAGAGGAGGACACCAGTGCCCACCACTGACTCTGTAAGATTGAGATCCACTGTGTGTGGACATTGAAGGGGCATTATTCAGCTTTTTATGTGAAACAAATGGTACGTATATGCACTGGCTGTATGAGTGGGAAGCATGGTGCCTTTACTTTCACCACAGGGGTTCCTAAGATACTATCGGATCAAAGGTTTTCTCTGATGTGGGACCCCAGGCCCTGGGGAAAAACTACAAAACAATTGATCCTGGAACACTGGACACACAACCCTGATGAAAGTGAAAGCACCATGAGGCCCACTCCTACAGCCACTGGGTCACTGCAAGGTCATAACTATAGGCAAAAATAAATAAATAATAATCACATAAAAAGTTGCATAATGAATCTTCAATAAAGGAGATGTAATATCTTAAGGGTGGAACTGTAATTTTAAAATTAATTCCCCAGATTTTAGGGAAACATATAAAATGAAATACTGTATTAACTTATAAGAATTCGAAAGCTGATTTCATTTATATACAAACACAAAAGACATAATGACATATGACTTGTGGTGCTGATGGTATATATGCTGAGCATTTAAAACACGGCAGCATTAGACGATCCCCTCTTCTGGCCATTTGCTTTACCAGCTGTCTGACCCATGGTATCCTGCCTGATGCACTTTTGTCTGTCACCTTGGTGCCAGTCATAAAGGACAAAGCAGGAAGAATGGGCAGTGTTGACAACTATAGGCCCATCGCCTTAGCGAGTATTACATCAAAAGTCTTAGAAAAGGTACTTTATGTAGAATACAAGACATTATTTCCTCCTGCTTATGTATATTTGCACTAAAGGAAATAATCAGGAAATATAAGAATAAGAACTCTTCTGTGTTGATATGTTTCATTGATGCTTCCAAAGCATTTGACCGGGTTAATCACCCAAAGCTATTTACTAAAATGCGTCAGCGAGGAGTACCTGAGTACATACTGAGAATCCTAGTCTACTGGTATGCTCACCAGATTCTGCAGGTGAGGTGGGGTAGTAGTGTCTCAGCCCCCTTTGGCGTTACCAATGGAGTAAGGCAAGGTGGAATTCTTTCTCCAGTGTTGTTTAGTTTGTATATGGATGAGTTGTCACAATGGTTGAATGCATGTAGGACTGGCTGTATGATTGGTTCAACTCTTGTAAATCACCTAAATGTACGCTGATGATGTTGTTGTATTGAGTCCAAGCAGTGCTGGCCTCCAAGAACTTCTTCATGTTTGCTCCAAGTATGGTCTGGAATATGACATCAAATATAATGCCAGCAAGAGTGTCATAATGATTTGCCGGACAAGAGATGACAAAATCTTGAAGTTTCCTCAATTTGAATTGTGTGGAAATAATCTGATATTGAGTAGCAAATATAAGTACTTGGGACATTTTATTACTGATAACCTGTCTGACGATGATGATGTGTTACGGCAGTGCCGCATGATGTATGCACAGGCCAATAGGCTTGTGCGCAGGTTTGGTGCATGTACAGATGAAGTGAAAAAGACACTTTTTAAAGCTTATTGTACACCGTTATATACGGCACATCTGTGGTCAAACTATAGACAATCCAGCGTGCGGAAGCTAAATGTGGCATACAATGACTGCCTAAGAATCCTGTTGAAAAGGTCTCGGTGGGAGAGTGCCAGCCTATTATTTGTTTCTTCTGGGATTCGAACTTTTCGTGCTGTACTAAGAAACCTGATGTACAGATTTATTTGTCGACTGAATCAAAGTCAGAATGTGATCATAATGAGCCTGACCAACATCAGAATCAGTGCCACACGCTATCAGTCTGAACTGTGGCGTCACTGGTACAGTAGTCTGCTGTAATCATGTATGCTTATTTTTATGATTATTGTTGTTTTTGTTTTTGCGTAATGTCTTTCTTATTTGGACTTCGTGTCTGTAATAAAGTTTAATAATAATATGGTTTATGTTAACATTTAATTTCTTAATTCACTCCCATGCGATATGTGGGAAATTTGACATTGGCTGTTCTCACACGCTGTCACAACACAGTGTACATCATGAAATCCAGCTGGTTAAATCATACCAACCTAAAGTGCTGACAATGATCAATCAGTGCTGGAGCAGACTCAGCAACTCCTCTACACAAAGGTTAAGTCAAAGGTTTAGTTGCCATTTGTCGTAAGCCACTATAATGAGCACAATTCTGCAACATTTTGCACTGCACAATTGAAGAGTAGGAAGCACATATAAAATCTAAATAAATAACTATATAAAATGTATAGTGTGACATGCTGTTACTGTTTTATCATGAACCCAAAACCAGATTTGTGCTCGTGATCTGCGTGTGATTTTAGGCAATGACTTTATTTATTTGACTTGGAGAATAACTGTGGCAGATTGCTAAGCATAATAACAACTGCTCGAGCATGAGTCTACAGCGTGATCATCTTTGCAGCATATGATAATTATTACATCACAGAATCTGCAAAGGGCCTTCTGTTTGAGGAGATGAACAGCAGCTAAAATGATCGGTTGAAAATATAAAGCAGCCCTTATGAGCACTGGAGTGAAGCCAGGTAGAAATACTACTTTTAAACACAAATTTAAGCAGATGTACTATCGTTTCTCCCAGTGTGAGTCTTGCAAATATGAAATGGTGTAAAATTGTTGAGATTTATATTAATAATGCTGAGTAGTCAAGGGTACTACTATTTAGCCCACAGAGCCATCAGCATCAGAGGTAAAAGTATTTAAGTTACTTCCTCTTGCTTCATTGATTTTGATACAATGCTCCTCTTTGGGTTTTTAAATGGGAAGCCTCTGGCATGTGGTCAGCAATATAAAGCAGGGTGTATTAATGTGTATTCATTAATCTATTAAATTACTACATTTTGTCACTCATTTATATGAAGATGTTGTCGAGTAGCAGTACTTTATCTTTGTTTTGGTTCAAATTGAGTAAAAGATCCCATATTCAATTAAAGGATCATAATAAACTTAAGAATAATTGTCCCACTAATCAATTACCAAAATAATACTTTATTCCATGGTGATGTAGCAAACATCCAATGATTTTTTTTCATAAATATTTTGTATAATCTTTTTTAGGGGGATGAATATGTTAAATGGAGAGAGTTTCCACTGGTAAGTAAGTAATGTTTATTTATATAGCGCATTTTACAGACCAAGGTCACCCAAAGCACTTTACAATGTTCAGAGTTCAGAAATTGTTCCAACTATTACACACACGGTGATGACAGAAGCGAGTCGCCGAACACGCTGGCGTATCAGCTCCAATCAACACCATCCATTCACTCTCTCATTTACATTCATACCTATTGTGCATGTTTTTAGTGGTAGGGGAAACCGGGGCACCCGGAGGAAACCTACGCAGACATGGGGAGAACATGCAAACTCCACTCAGAAAGGCCCTATTCCGACCGGGATTTGAACCCAGGACCTTCTTGCTGAGAAACGAGAGTGCTAACCACTCAGCCACCAAGCCGCCACTGGTGTACTACTAGTAAAATAAAAATATGTCCTATGTATTTCATGGGGCTGTTGACATAATGGGATGTATTACAGTGCCTTGCAAAAGTATTCGGCCCCCGAACACTTTTGAACCTTTTGCCACATTTCAGGCTTCAAACATAAAGATATAAAATTTTAATTTTTTGTCATGAATCAACAACAAGTGGGACACAATCGTGAAGTGGAACAACATTTATTGGATAATTTAAACTTTTTTAACAAATAAAAAACTGAAAAGTGGGGCGTGCAATATTATTCGGCCCTTTTACTTTCAGTGCAGCAAACTCACTCCAGAAGTTCAGTGAGGATCTTTGAATGATCCAATGTTGTCCTAAATGACTGATGATGATAAATAGAATGCACCTGTGTGTAATCAAGTCTCCGTATAAATGCACCTGCTCTTTGATAGTCTCAGGGTTCTGTTTAAAGCGCAGAGAGAACCATGAAGACAAAGGAACACACCAGGCAGGTCCGAGATACTGTTGTGGAGAAGTTTAAAGCAGGATTTGGATACAAAAAGATTTCCCAAGCTTTAAACATCTCAAGGAGCACTGTGCAAGCAATTATATTGAAATGGAAGGAGTATCAGACCACTGCAAATCTACCAAGACCCGGCCGTCCCTCCAAACTTTCATCTCAAACAAGGAGAAGACTGATCAGAGTTGCAATGCAAATGCAACGATATGTTTGGCGTAAAAGCAACACAGCTCATCACCCTGAACACACCATCCCCACTGTCAAACATGGTGGTGGCAGTATCATGGTTTGGGCCTGCTTTTCTTCAGCAAGGACAGGGACGATGGCTAAAATTGATGGGAAGATGGATGGAGCCAAATACAGGACCATTCTGGAAGAAAACCTGTTGGAGTCTGCAAAAGACCTGAGACTGGGACGGAGATTTATCTTCCAACAGGACAATGATCCAAAACATAAAGCCAAATCTACAATGGAATGGTTCACAAATAGACGTATCCAGGTGTTAGAATGGCCAAGTCAAAGTCCAGACCTGAATCCAATCGAGAATTTGTGGAAAGAGCTGAAGACTGCTGTTCACAAACGCTCTCCATCCAACCTCACTGAGCTCGAGCTGTTTTGCAAGGTAGAATGGGCAAGAATTCCCGTCTCTCGATGTGCAAAACTGATAGAGACATACCCCAAGCGACTTGCAGCTGTAATTGCAGCAAAAGGTGGCGCTACAAAGTATTAGCGCAAGGGGGCCGAATAATATTGCACGCCCCACTTTTCAGTTTTTTATTTGTTAAAAAAAGTTTAAATTATCCAACAAATTTCGTTCCACTTCACGATTGTGTCCCACTTGTTGTTGATTCTTGACAAAAAAATTAATTTTTATATCTTTATGTTTGAAGCCTGAAATGTGGCAAAATGTTGAAAGGTTCAAGGGGGCCGAATACTTTCGCAAGGCAATGTAATAATACATATTCCTCACAATAAAATACATCACTCTAAGAACAAGCTTGGATGTTAATCTGATTTAGTTAGAAATATACTGTTTCTACAGAGTCATTGGAAATCTTTCCAAAAGTAATTGTATGAGAATCGGGCGTATCAATCTACAAACAACAACCCAAGTAATTTGATATTTCATAATCCACCATATGGCTTCAAGGCCGTAAGCAATACCTTTATTCTTGCATAACAGCTCTAATTCTATTGAACGCCTCCCTTTGTGCATCCGTCGGATACGTAAAAATAAGCAGAGGTAATCAGATGATAAAAAACAACAATCGTGATTGTTTTTCTCTTTAACTCAATCTGCTCTGAAGCCCTGCAGCTAGGGTACGACAACACACCATAATAACACAAATAAATGTGAGTGGAGTGCTCATATCCTGCTCTCTGCTCTCGTCTCTAGATCACTGCTGCCGTAGGACCACTTTAAATCGAGCTCAGCTTACTGCATGTCAGCTTTATGTGAGTGTAAATCAAACCTCATCAATCTCCTGCGTTACCTGGCCAGATGAAATCTTTCATGCGTGTGCATGGAAAGAAGGATCTGATCTGGCTACACACCCGTTCTGCTTTCATACATTCACAGGTTTACATTGGAGCCCCACTGTGAGATAAACAAGTTTAGTTTGTGTGAAAGATGTAAAATGCTTCACCCATGAATTATTCCTTTTTGTTCACTCTTGATCATGTAAAACAGCCAATAATTCTGTCAATAGTCCACAGATTTGTCTTCAGTATTTCATTTTTTTATTTTATTTATTTTTTATTTACATGGGCACTTTACAATAAACATCAAAAGGAGAGATGTATTGTTGTAGCAGGAGTGCTAATTCACACCTGTAGTCTCTGAGCAGGTTGTTGCATAGCAAGGCATGGTTGGTTGGAGGATTTTACATAGTCTAGTGTGCCAGGACTGCCTTAATCTCATAAAGCATCATCTCTGCACGACAGTCAGGAGCTGAGCCAACCCAAAAGCAGCGCGGCCTGCTGCTGAGGTGACCTATTTAAACAGCCTCACCAAGCCCAACTTCACTCAACGTCGCCGTGAGAATCACATTAAAAGTAATTACAAAGATCATGGTAGTGTAGACACAGCTGAGAGAAAGGTTTTTATGAGGAGGCCATGTAATGTTGGAGTATACTGTTTGAATATGAACACATTTTAGGGTGTGGATTTTTCATGAATGTAATACAGCAGTCGATAGGGCAAAAATATAGAAATGCACAAATAGAGAACATTCACAATTAATAGTCCATACATATGAATATGAATATGAATTTTCCATAAAATGTGTTATTGAGTGCTGCAATTAAGTGCTTACATGTGTTATTTGAAATAGTGGCGTACTTACTTGTCCAGTGTACGCAAAGTCTAAAGCGTGCTTCAGTCCAATGCTGGTCACTCCCTGCAGTGTAACTTCATCCGCCTCGCTCTCCACCATGCACAAGCTGAACATGGCCTGGAAACAGACAAAGCAGACGGCAAAATCACTTATTGTGACCTATTAGAATACGTGTTTTAACTTGACCTACTAAGTAGAAGAATAAAGGATTTGAGAGAAAGGGAAATGAGAAAACAACGTGATTATTTCCCTGAAATGGCTTGATGTCGATTACGTACAGTACAACATTTATAGTAGCTTATACCAGGGCTGGACTGGGACAAAAAAACGGCCCGGGCATTTTTTCCTTCTTACCGGCCCAGGCATGTTTTTGTCACTTTTTTACAGTTTGTTTATACCAGGGATCGGCAACTCAAAAGGTTCAAAGAGCCATATTTGACCAAAAAACTAAAAACATCTGTCTGGAGCCGCAAAAAAATAACAGCCTTGTATAAAGCTTATATGAAGGTTACACAATGTAGCTACATTAGCTACATTAGCCTATTATCTAAATGACCAAGTAAAGGCTACAAATACATGATTAGCATTCATGATTATCAAATATGTGTTTTCACTGCAGCGTGTCCTGGAGAGAATGACGAAATTGAATGGCGGCACGGTGGCTGAGTGGATAGCACTCTCGCCTCTCAGCAAGAAGGTCCTGGGTTCAAATCCCGGTTGGACCAGGGCCTTTCTGAGTGGAGTTTGCATGTTCTCCCCGTGTCTGCGTAGGTTTCCTCCGGGTGCTCCGGTTTCCCCTACAACTAAAAATATGTACAATAGGTATGGCATGTGCCTCCTGTACTGGCACCCCCACACCCAAAAAAATAACAATTGTAAACCGCTTTGAGACTCCGATGTGCAGTGAAAAGGCGGTATATAAATAAAAGCTTACTTACTTACTTACTTACGTACCACGTGATGATTCTGCTTTAACTTTGACTTCCATTTTTTTGCCTTCATGCAACTGTAGAAATACAGTAAATAAATCTGCTTTTTGGCTCAAAGGTCACACACCTGCACTGTCCGCTCATATCGATCACGTCACAGGCTGAAGTTTGCTGGAGCTGAATGTCCTTTTCTTTCACAGTCTTTGCGGAGGTTTTTGAAGTCTGAAAAAAGTGCTCCGGATTTTGTATGAAAGAATCCTTCACGTAATCCCTGTGAACGGTATTTAGTGCTTCATTGTTCCTCGTGTTGCAACAAAACTTCCTATTACATCGCAAACATGAAGCAGTCCTTCCTCATTGACTGAAAGCAAATGTTCAGTCTTGTTCTTAGTCCAGTCTTATTATTGACTCAGCAGCGGCCGCCTGGCGCGGGGCCGCGCCACAGGATATGACGCACTACGTTGACAGAAATGTTGAAATTGAATATTACTTATACACATTTTTACAGCATTGAAATACGTTAGGAATGTTTTTCCTCCTACAGAAACCACATTCAAACTAGGAATAAAATATAGCCCTCCCACTCCATTTTCAGACATTTTTGAAAAGGCTCCAGGAGCCACTGGAGGAGCACTAAAGGTTGCCGACCCCTGGTTTATACAGTATGTGGAAGCATACTGAGGATCAGGATGTCTGTGGTTTCAACAAAAAAATAAAGTGCAATAGTCTACATTACAAGAGAGTAATAAACATGTCTCAGAGTGAGGGAGGTGGACAAAGACAATACTATTGTTTGTTACAGGGATGAGAATTGGTCAAAAAAGTCTGAAATGCATATTGTCAGCCATTTGCTGGCTCTAAATCTGTTTAATCTGTTCACAACATTTTACTTTTGGGCTCAAACATGAACTTTTAATGCAATGGAAAATTTAGGTACCCGGGCTTTAATTTAGTCGCACTTCAAGAGGAGAGGGGAGACGCGGACTTTTTCCTGCAGCGGTGTATTTATTGGGTGCACAAATTACGCAAAGACACGCATGGTCCTGTGCGCGTTTATGGGGTTGGGTTGCGGCTACGCGCTCACCGTGTTGTGTTGTGAGCGGTTCCCGGTGAGTGGTTCCCGCGTCCAGCTCAGAGCCGCTGGATGCGGGAACACTGCGGCCGCTGAGGTGGTGGAATCCCGTTCGAGTACATACAGCAGGTGCCCCGCGGACACGCGCGCTCCCTCGAACAGTTCTCAACGGATTTACACTTTTCACAAACATTTTTTTTTGTATGAGGCAAACAGACCGGCCCAAATATGGGCATCGGCCCTTCGGGCATTGCCCGGTACGCCCGATGGCCAGTCCAGCCCTGGCTTATACTACAGTACTGAAGTTTATATCTGCTTTATCTTATATTTTGTTATCTTGTGTTCTCCAAATTACAACAAACTTACATATATAATAGGGAACCGGAGCACCTGGAGGAAACCTACGGGGACAGTGTGATAAAAAGATGCAAACTCATTCTCAAAGGTATCAATCAAAGAAACTTCTTGGTGAGAGGCGATAATGCGCACCACCTTGCAAAATATCCTGGTTTAGAGATAGATTATGCCCTTCTTATTAACATGGTGAATTAAATCTGTTTCTTATTTCAATTCTTGCATTGAAATGATTGGAAAAGTGTCTGACGACATGGAAATTGAGCCTATAGTTTTGAGCTGCGCTTTGATTTGACTGATTTTTACAGCAGAACTAAACACCTCAACCAGTGATTTATGTTACAGAGCCTGTCAGTCGTCCAGTGATCGGTCTGAATCAGTTAATTCAGCTAATTACTGTAACTAAGTAGTGTAATGCATTACTTAAAAACATTTGTAATTTAATCATGGTTCACAAAAATACTTTTAGATACAGTGACTACTGTGCAGGTAAATACCTCAAACACAGATCAGAAGCAGGAGCAATTTTGTGCAGACAAGCCTATTTTAATAAACCACATATACATTACAAATAATGTAATCCCAAACATCCCTCATAACATTTTCAAATAGTAATAAATAAAAAACACTGGTCCCGTCGCACATGCACTGTCGAACTATTGAACATCTAATGTCCATCGCCTTTTATGAGCAATTTAAAGTGTTCGTGCCACTGGCAGCTCTGCTGTCTCCGCTGTGTGAGTCCGGGCCCTGTACACAATAATCAAAGCTATTGACCAAGTTCACACCCACCAGCGAGCAACAGACCCATTGATCAGGGGCCAGCCCACAGAACGAGGTGGGGAGAGACAAGGCAAAAACATGTGTAACATGTACTTATGATGGAAACACACACATGTTCAAACATTACACTTCTGTATGACTAAAACATTTATAAACATGCCTTTCATCTAAACCAGGCGTTTGTCCAAAATGCATTTGGCCTTCAGACATTTGGATGGATTTATTCACATAAGACTGAGAATTAGATGTGAAAATCCTCTCTGGTAAAACCTTAATACACGAGTGGCTGTACGCCAATATATTTCAAATAGACAAGACTCAGATAATTGAAACGTTTTAAAATTATTCACAGCGTTTACTTTCAATTGGTTTGTGGCCCTCAATTTTTCACACTGTAGACATATTTTTGGACCGGTGTTGAAATATCAAGTGGAATCGAGGAATGCTTTCTTTTAGTTGTGTTGAAATACAGGTTAGGGAGGCATTTTATATAGTCAATGTGCAGTGTGGATCAGAATTAATTCATTGCAGTATAATGGACCACCCTTAGAAAAAAAAGGTATTTTTGGCAGATCCCAAACAATGTGTGAGGACTGAAGGTTTCGTACTGCTCTTGCCACGGATGCTTGTAGCACAATCGTATATCATTACCTTTAGAGATGTCTGCAAACGGAAAATTCAATGGTTTTAAACCTTTAAACACACTTCGTTTTTTAATCTTTGTTTCTAAGTAATAGTTCAAATGATTAAAATATCAAGCATCCCTCTCTTCTTCTTCCACAATTAAAATACATGAAATATTTGGAAGTCATAGCTGGTATGTGTAACTCACCAGCAAGTGGCGCATTTTTGTCAGTGCCATGTCTTGCGGCTGCTAAAGTCTCATCAACATGTGGAGGGATACGATATCACAACATCAATCTAAACACTATTGTGGTCATTCTATCTAGTCTCTTCATACTCTACTTCTACTTGTATGTGCACGAGGCTATCAATGCCTCTATCAATGCCTCTATCCCCCACAGAGATCAATGCCTCATCAGGCTGATAAATAGTCATTTTCCAGTGTATTTTCCCTGCGCTGCACTGATCACTGAGCACTTCCAGACTATTATATAACATCCTAACAAGACCTAAAGACCGTAGGCTAGTCCACTTAACAGAAACAAACTCAAACACACACACACACACAAAACATACACACTTTGATACATAAGCCCAAACAGCTGAAATGGAAGATGGGGTCAGAGAGAGGCCAAGTTTGAGCTAAAGCCAACACTTCTCAGCCCTAACACAGAGGAGGACAGCCGTGTGCTCAGGCCTGCAGGGAATGGTGGTGCGGTGGAAAGAGGATGTGCCAAAAAATTGTGGTCAGGTACTGTACTCATAAAACCTAGTCCACAATTATGTTTTATTACAACTGTTACTGCTAATGAGGGTCAGGAGTAAAACCAAACAACTACTTTGTGCATATTTTATAGGCTTCTAGATTACGTTCAAATTACACAAGAGCCAGAAACGGCACTGAGCGGACCAGATGTCCTGCGGCTCCAACATGATGTTTTTAAGTAATCAAATGACTTGTGATTTTCTTACCAATCTTCACAAGGAAACAACAGCACTGATCCAATATATTTTGTGTTAAATATTTTTGTATTTTATTGAGAGCTCAATAGCTCACAGATCAAACAGGCAGGGGGTAGCTCACTGAGCATTTGTTTTTCGTCATACGCAAACACACGCATTATATTTATCCAGCATGAAAAGTGAAGACAGAGCCACATGCACATAGGGAACAGGGCTTCTCCATTGATGGATGGTGGATACTTTAAAGTTGGGAACCTGCTAAATTATTATTTATACTCTGGCATCTGTAACCTGTCAGCAGTTTTTTTTTTCAATTGTACTTTTCTTTTTTTCTTTTTTTTTTACAATACTATTGAAAACAATAACTTCAATGGCTGTGTCAAGTTGCTGGATATTGGCAGGAACTTGGATACCCTGCTGTATACGGCCACCTCGCACATTGAAAAGGAGTGGACCAACATTCTACAGGTCACAATCAACAACCCGATCAACTCAACTAAAACTGTTGTTTGTTTCCCTCTGGACCCCAGAAAAAGCACAAATTGAACATCATAGAGTGGGTCTTTATTGTGGCAAGCCCAAGGCATACCTATGTCGTATTCATTCCATATAAACTGGATCTTAATACGCCACACCTGAGAGGTAGGATGGATTGTTTCAACAAATAAGAAGTGCTCAGTGAAACAGTATACATTTGTGAACAGTATCTGTTGCTATTCAAGAAAGCACCTTGAGCAGATTATTCAGCAAATGAGTGGTGGAGTCAGATGACATGCTTCACATAATACTATTAAGCTCCAGGAACAGGGGAGAAAGGCAGTATTCTTGCGTTCTGCAGCCTGCTGATCTAATAATCTTCTGAGAAACGCTCAATGGGGATTCTGAGTTTAAAATGGAGGAGAACAAAGGAAGGATAAAACAAAGGAGGAGAGGTTTGCCTACCACCAACTCAAAATAACCTACACACACATCCACGCGTGTATGTACACACACACACACATTTAATCTCACTCTCATTTTCAAGGGGATTAATTTCAGATTTCTCATCTGCTCTGTATTACTTGATCATATCGCATCTGTGAACTTTGTCTAGGGGGATTTCCTGCTTGTCTCAGTTTACTAATAACTACCTGCTTGACACATTCATTATTGTCTTTGTCATTTTTGTATTAGAATGTAAAATAAACACAGCTGTGATTGTAAAGAATGTCCTTTCATCTGATAAATTGATAAAACAACACTTTTGTTTTAAAGGCAGAAAACGTACATGATGTAATAGGGTTACAATTACACATTTATATTAGAAGTCTGAGAGACAAGTTTGGATGGATCTAAAATCCACTGCAGGTCTGTTAATAATCAGAGAACAATGTTACATGTCACTAAGAACCAGAAAGGGAAAAACTAACAAGTGTACACTGTTCCAGTTAGTCAGTCCATCTCTACAAAAGACAGAAAATCTAAGCCTTTTTGGTCCACTTAAAGTGAACTCTGCTTTAAGCAGAAAGGAAAGCTGAAGATGTTCTGACAATTAGTTTTGGGCTCACACACTCTCCTTCCAGATTTTAAAATTACTTCTGGGTTGTGGTTGAAACATCTCACCACTGAAAACCTTTTTTGAGCAATTTCATAAACAGTCCATCTTTAATCAGTCTAGATGAAAAGTGTTGCCCCTGATTAATTAGTGGTAATGCTTAATTTTGACAGCATTACCACTGTAAAAAAGTGGTAATGCAATCACAGTCAATACTCTATAGTCCTCTCCCACTCTATTGTGGGAGAGGATTACATTGTATTGCTGCCTCTTGGCCAGGACTCCCTTGAAAAAGAGATTCTTAATCTCAATGGGATTTTTCCTGGTTAAATAAAGGTTAAATAAAAAAAAAAAAAACTCTCCCATCAGGTTGCCAGATATGCACCGAATCCAGCTGGGACCATAATAGTGGAATAGACAAGAGTTTTATCAACAATAATTCTATGACCAACACCTTTTTCACAGAAATTTGGCTATTTTAGGTTGAAATGCGTCATGACCATAGACTGTATATATTAATGGACAGAGTCACGCCTATCTCCGCCGTTCTAACTAATGGGCCAAAAAATGTGCTCTACTGGAGCAATCCAAAATGGCCGCGAGTGGTCCCGCCCACAAGAAAATTGTGAAAAAACGCATCTGCGCATGCGTCAGCCGGCGCATTCATTTGTTTCATTCATTTGAACGAGAGACTTCAAAGATTCACAGCAAGTAAACTAGAGTGGACCAAAAAAATCCACTCCCCTCAGCATTGACACACATGTGGAACGGAGCTTTGGGCCAAGAGCCAACTTTTGGTCCATCCTGTAAAGACGTTTTTGAGAGGTCTAACATATAGCATTGGCTAATTCTACTTCTGGGTCCACCCCAATCAGCCCGGGGTGGTATTGCAAGCATGTCAGCGCACGTCATTTTGGCCACTTTTGAGCTGGGACCCTCCCCCACTGGTCATGACTCATGTCTGTGGACAGTATTCCAATGGAGCCCACGATATATCAACACAAGGAATTATTTTATTGAGTTGTTTGTCTGTCTCCTACGTTTCACATTGCCATGATAGTCGTACTAATGTTGGAACATATTTCTTCAGCGTATCAGCATCAGGGTTTCCTCCAGGGGGGGCATAAGGGGGATCAGTCCCCTCTAGACATGGCCCTAGGGCGGGATTTCCCCTCCTCAATTTTTTCATTCCCTATTTTTTAAAGCCTAACTTACAACATGCAGGGCTCCCAGTTCAAGTCAAAATCATATAAACAGAAGCACAAATACTTCCTATATGTGTATTATTATGTATATATGTATAGATTCATGTGTACATAAACATCTGATTTACAATGTTGCTTCCAAGAGCTATAAACTGGAAATAGACTCACCCTAAAGTAGTCGCTGCATGCTGCTAAGACAGCTTTGTGGGCATGGAACTTCTGCTCTCCCGCCACCAGCGTCACATCACAGAGCAGGCCATCCTTCCTCTGCTGGTTCAGAGCCGACAGCACCGAGTCCTGATGGGACTTCGACTGGCACAGCCTCTGTCCTGTCAGCATCTCCCCAGTGCTACACAAGAATCCAGACACACACATGATTCACCTTGTGTTATTAAGACAAAAATACACAACCTACATTCAATACAAATACAACACATTTTATATATTAAAGCGGTATACAAAATAAAAAAGATTCTCAATAAATTAATAAATGTTAAGAGGTTTTCATCACAGACGCAACATTCCCCCAACGTTCCTCGAAGCCCTCCAGATCCTCCTTCACCCAGCACAGTTCAAATTCCAACTTGATCTGGGCTTGGATCGAGTCTGGTTTGCTTTCTCCCTGAGCAGTTAACAGCTCACATCCTGCCATGACCGCTAAAATAAACAGCAGCATTTGTGCAGGGGGAGTGGGAGGAGATATGATTGTCTGGTAAATGATTCCAACGTAAACAGGTGAAGAGGGGCCCACCACTTGTAAGTCTTTCCCTTCGTACTTACCGTGTATACTTACGTCTGTTTCAAATGAACAGTCTGTCAATGCACTGGCCCTTAAGGAAAATTGAGTCTCTATTTCTGAGTTAGCTCTTGAACTATTCCAGAACTGCACCTGAGAAATCAAAATCTGGTGCAGTTTTGATCCTATGGTTTGCTCTGAAGTTAGATTGAAAGAAAGTTTTTTTTTTTTTACTGAAAAAATATTGATACAGTTACAGGACTGGGTATCGATTTTGCTATCACAACATATTGTCATAGCAATATTGTGAGTAAAACCATAGAGTTACTATTCATTATGCATCCATGTTTTGATCAAATGACAAAAGAAATGTAACGTAAATAAAGACATACATTATAAATCTCATATTGACAGTTGACACCTTTTTGAGATTATAGCAACAACCCCTCCACCAATTGAAACTCATATCCACTATGTACAGTGTCTACAAAATGGAGTCCTTGGTGTATGTCAATGGAAATTGCTAAACATTTTAAGTAACAAAGCAGCAATCAATAAGAATGTGATATGTGATACAATTCCTCTAACCATTCGATTAGCATGCATCCCTGTCTGAATGAATCCATCTCAGTCCATTTGGGTGCTTGGGCGTCTCTCTAAATACTGCTGCAGAGGGCCAGCAGGCTTGCTCTGTCACCTTCATGGTGCCGCGTGTAAGAGACCGAAATAATGTGTGTATGGTCAATGTGTGTGCGCTTTGAGCCTGAGGTGAGTGAAGGACGAGTCAGGCTATAGGTTTGTTTGGTACTTCTACAGCCAGAAGAATGTGAACGTGATATGAAGAAAAGTGTAGGACTTTGGATTCTCTATGGAAATAAATATAAATACTAAAGTCATTTCAATCGCACAGCAGGAATGTGTGTCAATGTGATTTGTAATTCTATATTGTCAGCATTCCAGGAGAAGATTGGGTTTAAGGGGATTTACAGAGGACGGAAAGCTGATGATGGCCGCACCATTTACAGGAGGTCTTCAAACATTAGAAATTCTATTTGTCAAGTGAGTAGATAGAGACCTATTTATCAGGCTGGTGTTTTTTTGTAAATTAGCCATAGGCTGTTACTCTCCTTCAAGAGATAATATTGTGTTTGGTCTGCTAAACCCGACTACAGAAGACAGATTGTTTTTTGTATTTGCAGTTTTATACATTTCAGTATGAAGTCCTGAGGAAAGGGGAACATAAATAACAATAAAGAAAGCATTGACAAAAGGCTTTGACACAGAACAATTGTAATGAAAATGTATTGATCTGACATACAGTAAATCTCTCTCAGGATGAAAAACAGAACGGCTCCATTTATCTAAAATATCAGAACATTATTGTTCTAAGTGCTTTTGCTGTAAGCAATTTAAGATTTGTACTATTTGTTTGTTGCAACGGAAATAGTCATTTAATTGGACAATAGTCAACCACTAATTACTATAATGCTGTTGTCAGATGACATATGATCTCGCTCATTAGAGCTACCAGTCAATAATCAGTCTACTGGCAAAGAGTTGTTCTCTAAATTCAAACGCTATGATTCACAAGAAAAGTAGATATTCAACCAAAAATACTATCTTGAAAGGTTAAGGTTACAGTAAAGTAGACTATTGTTTCAGGGAAGGCACAGAAATTTTTGGCAGTGTTACGCTGCGATTGAGGGTATAAAGATGAATGCATTTTGGTAACATTTAGACCAGGGGTGCCCAAACATTAACCAACCAAGATATTCTGTTCAGCATTCAGTGAGCCAAACTCTACCTCAGTTTAAAGTGGGGGTGCAACAATTCAGGATTGGATTTTAATATGTACGAGTCAACCTACACCACTGTCACAATGTTTCTCTTCTTTTCATAGATAAATTGAAGTTTCTCAAATTGTGCATGTACCAAAAATACAGTAGATTGTCCATTAACGTACCATATAATTTATGAATATATAAAATAAAAATTACAAAAGAAAATACCTCCATGTATCCAATATAGACATACTTTCATTATTCATTCATATCCCTGCTTTTGTCTTTTTTTGTTCATTTCCATTGGTTGTTTAGTTTCCTACCTAAAAAAATGTGTCACTCCAAATTGTCTCTATAACGTAGTCAAACAGAAAGCAGTACTTTCAGATCAAATAACCGGCCCGATAAAGAAAGCATGTTTTTTTGCATTGTCCTCTACCACCTGAGTTCACTGTACAATTAAAGGAAAAGTCAGACTTAGTCCATGTTTTAATTTATTGATGAGGAATGTCAAGGGCATAAATGTTACCTGAGGCTGGGTTCAGAAGGCATGCCCCTCGGGACAGGAGCAGGGGTGAGTGGTCTGGGCCTGGAGGAGGTGCGTTGTGGCTCCCTGGGACGGCAGCGTCCTCACTGGAAACATACATCAGCCTGACAGGACACAACAGCACGTCAGCTTTACTCAGTCCATCCACTTTCACCCAACCACAACCTGACATCTTCCAGTATACAGTGTGAAAAGATGCAAGGCAATGCCCTGGACACTGACATGTCTTTGTGACTGCCTAAGTAAAAGGGCTAATAATAGATTATTTGTTCAGGTCTTTAAAAAACATTTCATTTAAAAAAAACATATATTTTTTATTAGTTATTGAGCGTCACAAAGGAGGATGGTCAGATTGCCACCATTGCTTAAGGAAAGGCAAGTTTTTCAGTTCAGCCCAATTCCTGCTTTTCACAATGTGTGCTATCACCTCTAACTGCTTTACAAAACACCGCATCACAATACCAGTACAAACATAAATAATGTCTCAAAAGAAAAGTAGATACAGATGGAGTGAACAGTACAGTGAAATAGTCTGCACTGGTCCATATTCTTCTGTAGTCAGTGAGACATCTGCAGAGTATCATCTGCAGAGTTGTGATAGAACATGTTGTTACTGCGTATTAACTGACCTCACAACAGCAGTATAGAGATCAAACAGAGGAGAACCCAGGACTGACCCCTGTGGCGCTCCACAGGTCAGGTTCATATGGACTGACACACTGTTACCAATCTCAAAAAAGTGCTTTCTGTCTTCTTGACATGACTTGCAATCCCTTATCACATTCAAGCTCAAGCAAAACATGAGCTTGAATGTGAAAACGTGAACTTGAAACAAATGTGGATCAGAGGATGGTCTAACATCCGATGGTCTAACATCCGAGTTCACTGGGCAAAATTTATGAAGGTTAAAAAGATGTTTACCACGAGGTGTAAGCCCCCTCATATTTGTTTGTTTACATTGGAAAATACATTCAAAAATGTATTAATACAATAAATGTATATGCATAAGAAAGGACTGCCGTAAACAGCATTGTATATCAAAGTTGTTTCTTTTCAATGTGAAAAAGATCTTCAAGTAACCCATGACCGTTTACTTTTACTACACTTTGCACTTTGTTCTTTCATATTTGTGAGTACCTCAGTTACTAACAATATAGATATTCAATGTAGTTATGTGACAGGCTGTGAAGCCTCATTGTAGCTTTAGTTAGTCTTTCCTTTTTGGGGTTTTTGACTTCACATGGGAGTGGATTCTGGGGTGGACCAGGGGAGCACTTAAATGATCAGAAAAATGCAACAGTCAAAGTCAAACAGTTACAGTCCTAAAAGATACTAAGATAAAAAGGGAAAACAAACATTTTACAGAAAGCAAATGGGAGGTATAGTCTCCTTGACAACCTTGACACCTGAATCTGATACGCGACTACCCGCTGTTAGAGAGGTCAAAACAAAAGCACGCTGAAACTCAAGCCCCTTTACATTCCCTGTAATGCTGCTCACTCAATATGCAATTATTCAAACTCAAATACTCCTGTTCAGATTGCATAGCATGAGTATGTAGTGTATGATTATTTAGATTGAAATAGTCAAAGAATATTGAGTGCATCGTGAACCAAGTTATTGATCGCTTCATTATTGACCTTCAATTGACCTGCAGCTTTTGCCTCTGATGGACGAGAGAGGAGAGAGACTTGAGTTCGCCATTAAGCCAAACAAATATCACAATTTTGTTGGAGTCATATTTAGATTTGTGCACGTATACACAGGTTTCTAATATTTCTGAAAGTTCATATATCCTAGAAAAACTGTAAATTCCTGCTGATACTCCCCCAGAACCTTGCATGATGTTTGAGTGAGGCATAATCTGTGATTAAAAATAGAGCACATACATTAATATCAAGACACTATAATCATCGCTCAAACTACTGTGAACTGATACGAGTTATTCTTGTTTTCAAAGTAGGCCAAATATACGAGCAGTTTGGGGGGCCTCAATAAGTGAATATCCAAAGGCCAGTCTGTGTGGTGCCACAGCTGTTAGGTCTAGATTTCTCCATTGCCATCCAACAAATTGTCAATACATTATTTTCAATTTTAATTAATGTGTCTTGAAACTAAAAGGGGGAATGGAAATGTGTGGTAACAATGTAACTATGCTGTTAATACTAAGGAAAAATCAAGCCCATTTAGTTAAACTATATTTCATGTATCAGTAATCAGGCTATATGCATATGTATAACTTTAAAACATATGCACCATTATCAACCATGACTCTAACAACAGCATGTACAGTGATAGTAATGACAGTGGGAGTGTGAAAGGTTTGGGTTGCCAGATAGACAGATACCATTAGTGAATTAAAAACTGTCACTTTCCAAAAGCTCCAGCTGTCCAGAGGTCTCCCAGCAACAGCCCATCGCCTCGATCACAAACTCGGGCATAATGGATCCATGGGGCAGACGCCTCCCCTGTACGAGTCCGCTAATCCTGTTGCATCCTCTTCGGGCAACACCAAATTATATTTAGAGCACCTCGCTTTGGATTTGCTGTCCACGGCTGTATCCCAATCCCGTTAATGTAAATCAAGCTTATACGCACCTCAGATGACTGCGAGCTCTTCATTCAAGCAGAAGCGGTTCCTGGTGTTGTGTCATGAGATGCTCGATGGTTTGACAGTCGGAGAAAGAGCCACGGGCCGGAAAGCTGTAGTAGATGTTGTCAATGGTCGTGGGCGCTTCACACCACGGTACTTACATTGTGAAAGCCAAACCCCGCCTCTTTGCTCTTCACGCGTCACATGAACATCGCGGTGCAGTGTGCAGAGCGCCCTCATGTGTACAATGGAGGAATTGAACTGACATGAATGAATAGCCTACAAAAATGTCCACATTATTAAATCATTATTAAGATATCGCTTCAAATATATAACGTTAAAAAGGGATTATTTTGTATACCACAAATCCGACGTTTATTATTTCTATTGTTATTATGTTTATTATCTGCCAATGTATGCATATATTTATTCTTTATTTTTTTGTTTAGACTTTGTTACCCCCGCCTACGATCTCTAGGTTGGAATTCTATTTACAAGACGTTGTGCTTGTGACTGCAGCCCATAACCCCAAACTCCTCTGCACCTTTTTTACATAGAGTGTGAAAATATGTCACAACCATGGATCTATAATAAGGTCACATCCACTGGGAAAATATTGGTCTCTGGAAGAACCACAGTCGACGTTATTGGTTTGTATCATAATGCACATGTACCTGAATATTTTCATTATACACAGACATTGGTCATGTCATGATAATGCAGAAATAATTACTTACTGTAATGGGGTTGTAACTACCTCAGATGATTTAAAAACATAAGCCATTGTAAATGGCTTCCAAATTGTCATCCAATTCAATTCAATTCAACTTTATTCCGGACTCACAGTCCAATACAATTAAATAAAATAAAAAATAAAGCACAAGACAGACAATTAAAATGGCATTTTAAAAAGACAACCATGCCAATGTTTCCACAAGTCAGATTGATACCGTGTCGCACTCCATTTTATATTCGTGAGGGACACTATTATTTCATTTTCAGACGTGTTCAATCGACACATAAAGCTGTACATCAAAGTTCGTAGCACGGCCTGTAAAGTGTTCACTCTGGCATTAACAAACATTTCTGTGGCACTTGACCATCTCGGCTTTTTCAAAAGCACACGCAAAGCATCATTATAGGCCACCTGGAGCTTACGCATGCTGGCTTTCTTATAATGAGACCAGAGATGAGCTGTGTATAAGGGAGTACAGTACGCTTTAAATAACGTTAGCTTCACTCTCTCTGTACAACAGCCAAACTTCCGTGCCAGGGTATTAGCCTGGGCATACAACACTCTGCATTGTCTGTAAATGTCATCATCATCAGACATGTCCTCAGTGATGATGTGCCCGAGGTACTTGATTTTGGTGACAACATGCAAAACATCATTACACAAACAAAAGTTAGGAAATGTCAGGTTCTTATCTTCCTTGGTTTTAGAAATCATAACCACACTCTTCGAACTATTGTACTTAATATCATGTTCCAGACCATAAGTTGAGCAGATATTAAGGAGCTGCTGTAAACCAGCCGTACTTGGGCTAAACACGACTAAATCATCTGCGTACAAAAAATGGTTCATAATAGTTCTTCCAGAGACACAGCCAGTGTGACAGTCTTTGAGTTTAGATGACAGTTCGTCTAGATACAGGTTAAATAACACTGGGGACAGAACACCCCCCTGTCGGACCCCATTGCTCACTTTAAAAGGGGTAGATACACTGCTCCCCCATTTTATTTGCACTGTTTGCTGTGAGTACCAGTATGCTAAAAAACGCACAGCATAACTGGGTACACCTTTTTGGGCTAATTTCAAGAATAGTTTTCTATGATTGACCCTGTCAAATGCTTTTGAAGCATCCAAAAAGCACATAAAAACAGATGAATTTTGTCTTCTATATTTAGCAATTACCTCTTTAAGTGCATATATACACATGTCAGTGCCTAACCTGGTCTTAAATCCAAACTGGTTATCCGTAGATCTCACAAGTTTGAGAATCCTTTCCAAAAGGACAGCTTCAATGATTTTAGACACTATACTAGCCAAGGCTATCGGTCTGTAGTTATCTGAACAGCCAAGCTTCCCAGTTTTGTTTTTAATGACTGGAACCAATAACACAGCTAACATAGAGTCTGGTATGAAACCATGCACAAGAAAAGCTGTGAAACAGATAGAAAGCAGTGGGGCCAGCCTCACACTTGCAAACTTTAAGTGCTCAGCAGAGATTCCATCCAATCCTGTACTTTTGTTATTAGACAAATTGGTTATTGCCCTAAAGACCTCACTTGTCATAATTACGTCAACATTGTCAACATCATTTACAGTATAGAGTTCACTCAGAACACAATTAAACAAACTGCGGTAATGCTGCCGCCATAGTTCTAAGATGTTCTCAGTACCAGAGGCACCATCCACCACACAGGGCAGAGATATTTTATTCAAAGATATTCCTTTCACTTCCTTCCAAAAGTCGTATGTATTGTTACAGGAGAGTTTCCTGGCCATAGAATCAGCTCTCATCGCTCTCTCATTTTTACTGATGTAGCGCACAGCATATTTATACTGGGCATTAGTTAGCCTTTTATGTTCAAAAACAGGCCCATATCGAGGTTTCCCCGCCAGTATCCATTCTGTAGAAGCCTCCCGAGCTCTAGTATAAACATCCGCCACATGATCATTCCACCCAGGCCTTACCCTCTTTTTAGATTTTGGTCTTCGAAGGGGTTTACATGACTCGTACAGCACTTTAACAATATCCTCATACATAGAACTGATGACAGATTTGTGATCAGAATTATTGCAGTTACCATCTCTACACATCATAGCCTCTTTTGGCAGATAGATATTACTCAAAAGAGTGTCTGTGTTCATAGTGTACAATAGTATATCCTCACTAGAAAGACAACTCCAATCAATGTAGGATGTACCACTTTCAATTTTGTAACTTTCTGTCAGGGGCAGAAAATGACAATTTATTTGCATCCCAAGTGGAATGTGGTCAGCAGTTGCAAATTCATAGTAAATTTTTATATTCACCAGAGACGCATGGGCATCTGCTGTAGCTATGCAGTGGTCCAACCAAGAGGTTGTATGCCACGCCTCACTTATGTATGTAAAGCTATCAGCTGGCAAGAGAGCTTTAGTAGATAATATCAACCCATTATCCTCACAAAATTGGTTCAGATGGCTTGCAAATAATGATTTACTGTCTGAAATATCAGAGTTCATGTCACCAACAACAAATACATTAGAAAACGTTTTATCTTGTATAAAAGAATTAATAAAAGCAAGTCTGTTAAGATATTCCGTTTCATTCTGTTGACACTCATAGGGGGTGTAAACATTTAAAATAACACATTCCTTGTCCTTCAGTGTCCTTCATCGAATATTGCATTAAAATATATATACCCTATAAAAATACATGCATCTATGAATGATGACATCGTATAAAATGGATACCGTAAATCTATTACGATACATCGTAATAGATTTACGATCTAAAATAGCCATTTTTAGACGGATATCGTAACAGAATAACTAATAAATCCATGCAGCTGTTTATCCATCCAACTTCCTCATGTTTTTAGTCAACAACAACAAAAATCTCTGTTTAAACAATTATTTCTATTCTATATAAATGTGTGTTTTGAAATATTGTTCATTAATTTATTCGGAAAAAGTAGCATTTTGCATGTTTGATCAAGCTGTAGTTTCCTTGTAACCAGATCTGCAGTCAGTTTGATTCCTTCTCTAGTACATAGTCATAACATGTCCCACTGCCCGTAAACGCCTCACGCCTCAGCCTTGGAAACACGGGAAGGAGCAGCTGCAGGAGTACTCTCCACACTCAGGAGTTTCTTCACAAATGCTCATTCTAAACTCACAGTTACTCCGTCCACATGTAGGAGACAGGGATATTCAGTTGTTCGAGTTAAAGGTAAGTTTATGTGTAGTTTTCAATGTTTTGCCATTTCTTTGTTTTGTTTTACGAGCTGCATTGTGTCGAAGTTGTGTGGCTCTGTCCCATGGCGACTGTGGTAGGGAAGTTTACAGTAACTTTCTCCCAACACCTCAGGATAAACCCTACTGCTGGCAAGATCGCTCTTTCTGTGCACAATAAAGTCATGTAGATGGCAGCGATCGTTATATGAGTAGATCGTTGTTATAACTTGGTATTACACATAGCGTTAATTTGTTTTAGGTTGATTTAAAGTTCGATCCATTCATTGCTACTAATCAAATGCGCTTTATCTTTGCTTCCTAATTCTAAATATTGTATTACTGTCCTGATTTGTGCTATGATTTTCTTTCACATAAGCACTATTCAACCCAGCAGGCGATATGTGTTGCTAAATGTTTCTTGTTGTGTTGAGTGTGGTTAGATTAGAAAGACTTGTGCCAGAAGTTACAAACGTGTGTGTTACTTATTGATCTTCTAAGGTGGACCTATTCCTCTGTAGGTTATCTGTCTTTTATATCCTTATTATAGCTGCTTTATGTGCATTGTGGTTTAGCTGGTGGTGATATAGTTGTGTGCACAGACAAAGGCTCTTTATGGTCATATTTGCTTGCATAACTTAATAATATCACTCTGGTGTGTTTCCTCAGACGATTTCACTGCCTGTAATTGACACTCAGTCTTTATGAGACTATCAAAGCAGAAAAAACTCCCAAGGACCACTAAAGTGCAAAAGCATTTGTGTGTTGACAAGCTCAGACCTATGCTCTTAAATCACACAAGTCTTGATGTCATTCTCCAGGTTTGCACTTGTACTGGTATTTTATTAACATTTAGTCACGTTTACTTTGCCTCAAACCAAATGGTATGAGACAGGTGTGGGGTGGAGCGGTCCTCTGCAAGCTGCTCTATGAAATTTTGTGGAAGATTAAAGAATTTGATGTTAGTCCATCATTTTAGATGGTTCTGCTATGTCACATGTATTTGCATATGTGTAGATAGATATTTTTGAAATAAAAGGTTAAGTATAAATTGTCTTTTCGAAAATGAACTAGCTGAATCTTCTGAAATATTCACAGTAGAGCTATTAACAATGTTTTTGATAATATATTAGTTTAACTTTTTTTAATCTTTTCAGTGCATTATAATATTTTTGTCCATGGGGATGGGTGTCTTTATCTCCTTTAAAAGTTCCATAGTACATCTTTAAATCTTCTTTTCATAAACCACCAATACAAGGTACTGGTGTAAGCAATCTCATTTGCCAGCAAAGCATTGTGGGCCCCACATGGGATACATGTGAGCGAGGTGGGTTCTAGATTGTTTTACCCAAGTGGGCTCCAGATGGGATGCCCACATGGATTACCCAATGGAGGCCACCTGGGTCTTTTGTGCGTTAACTGGGCATGGGCTTTAACTGGAAAAAACCAGCTGGGCTCTTGAGACGACATGGGGCCGAGGTGGATCACAGGTGGTTGGCCCAGTTTGGCCCTACATAAAATCCATTCAGAACCCTCTCAAAGCCCACCTGGGGCTACCATTGAACCTGCGACCAAACCCATTAAGGGCCTATGTTTGTAGCCCACCTCTAAACCATGAGGGGCCGACTTTTGTTTTCTCGTGGGGTTGGTACCACATGAAGGGTTCAATAATTTAGAAAACACAGAATCAAATCAAAACAAAATGTAAGTATAATTTATGATGGTGAATGCAGTATTTATTGAAGACTTTGGTTGTCCAGAAAGGCGCCAAATCAAGAAAAATAAATTGTCATTATTATTATTTGTATCTTTGATTTTGTGACACAGTGTTACTTGAACACAAGCATAGCAATGCATAAAATCAAATGTTTCTAATCTCAGATCCTGTCCTGTTTTTGAGCCGAGGCAGCTGCTTCAGTCTGTAGAAGATGGGACCAGTGCCTAACCTACTGAAAGGATTTCCCTCTGCAATGAGGTGACTCGGAAAAATAAAAGCCAGCAGATATTTGTACATAACCTCCACCCAAACCTGTGGCGTCTAAAGGAAACAGAATTAGACCACTATGCTCCTACCGGGACCGCTGTGGCTGTGGCTGGTGTGGGTGGGACAGTCCCATGCCCACAGCCTATTCACCTGTGAGCCAATTAGAGTGCACCGATGTCTGGAGATGTCTTACAACATGACCTTCTTCCCCAACATGATGGAGCACTACGACCAGGACATCGCAGCCAGTAAAATGGAGGTGCGCTTCATTTACACTTAAGAACATGTATAGCATTTTCGAGTACCCCTTTAGTTTGGTCACTGAGACTTTGAAACTACACCAAACACAACACTAAACAGAAGTATTATTATTGCTCTATGGAGAGTTTGAAAACTGTCACAATCACAAACCATTCTACGTCTTTACAAGTGTGAAATTAATTTCCCTTTAGATAGGGAAAAGATGACATAAAAGGTAACAAGACAAGAGAAGGCATTTCAATGCTTTTATAATTTGCAACGCCAATGTACAGCTCCTTCTCATTTACTATATTCTGTTTTGTCAGGCTGTTATTATAGCCACTGCTTCAGTTTTAAGTGAAACAGAGGCAACAGTCCATTTCCAGTGTCATTAGTCCTGACTGTGCGGCTAGCCTTCAAAGTTTCTTGTTTTTCTACACTCACGTCAAGTGATTATTGATTGCTGACCAACGAGTAAACATAAAGTACTTCTCTAATTTGATTAATTAGATAGAGTTAAAAACATGTTTTTCACTAATCAATTATTTGAATAAAAAAAAAAATTAAGAATAAAAACATAAGCAATATGTGATTTCACTGATGAGTTTAATCGTTAGGAAGTATTGTGTCTGAGGCAGGAGATGTATCACAATGTTGTGTTGAGTTGAAAGTGCACAGATCTTGGTTTTTTTCTGGTCAAATGGAAAAGATGTTCTCCATCTTCCAGTGGAAGAGCAGTTCCTTAATGATAGGGTCATATGGGTGGAGGTCGGAGTAGAGCCGCTGCTCCTCCATGTTTAGAAGAGTCAGACTTGGGCTGGAGGGACATCCGAGGGTCGCTTGGTGGACCTGGTCATGCCTCAGGATTTCCCTGGATGAGCTGAAGAAAGGGAGGTCTGGGTGTCTGAACTGCTGCTCTCACATCCCAGGCCCAGATAAGCAGAAGGACTTTTATTTTATTTTATTTGTTTACATTGTTTAAACCTTATATGGCCTTCTTAAATAACATACAGTATTATAAACCCATACCTTGGGTGCTCGGCCTACACAGTAGGTGTGTCCTGGACTGGCACACTTACTGGCTTCGCTTGTGACCCTTTGGCCTTCCTTTGCGATTTTACTTAGCTTATCATAATTACAGGGTATCATCCAGACATGATTATGTAGGCCTTTATTGTCATAATCTCATGGTTCCTTCATGTTAGACACAGTACAAACACAGCCCTTTGCAGTAATGACATTGGCTGTGCTAAGAAGACAACTACTATTTCTTTGGTGTTCCTGCGAGTGTCTTGACATTGCCACAGGCCATAGTGTACATTACAGCAGTCAGTGTGAGAAGGTTGAGAATGAGCAGGGATCCATGATAGGGCCTTTGTGTGTCTGCCATCTGCAGAAAACTGAAGGAATGGGATCCTTATTTCACTGCAACTTTGGCCACAGGCTAGTTCTCTGACTTTGTAGCGCATGGGCTTTGATTTCTATGAAGAGAAGCTCAGGAGGAGAGACACACCCAGTCACACGAACACAAAGCCCACCCCACATACCACAATGACTTTTCTCTGTTAATCACTCACTCATTTCTCTGTGTACAGTCTTACAGTGGTGCTCTGCTCACCGAGGTAACCAACCAACAACACTTGTGCCCTGCATTACGTACGTCTATGACAATGCGTCTCGTGTTACTGAGAAGCTGCTAGGGTTATGTGAAAAAAAAAAAAATACTTGATATAGATCACTGTTAGAGCTTTTGATTTTTGAAACTCTGCCTCCATTGATTGGTTGGTGTGTATTATTTAAGAAAAAGAAAAAACACAACAAGTAGTACAAGTTTTCTCTAACTTGTGTCAGCACTTTACAGTTACTGGCAAATAAAGATCAAATTGTTGCTCTCAATGTGAAAGTGAGAAACAAGGACTTGCACTGTTGGTGAGGGCAAGCCCTGAGCCATGGGACTGATGCCATACTGGAGCTGGAACTGAACTGACAAGAAACACAAATATTGAATAGTGAGCTCTGTGTGAATGCCATGTGCTCGTCGTAAACTATACCTACATTGGTGTAAGGATGGACATGAGTGACACTATCTGGCCACTAGGGGTCAGAAGCAGGAATTCATGAAGATGTGATGTGATGACTCTTGTATGAATTAATGAATGACTTCAAGCTAGAGAGAAATGTTCTACTTCTAATTGGTCACAGAGCTCCCCAAAGAGGCACAGTTCCGGTCAGCAATACAGTCAACAATAATTTAATAAAAATAGCCCAATTTTTTTGTGTTATGTTGCTAACTAGCACACAAAGTGAATTACAGCAAACAAATTTTACTTTATTACTGATTTCTGAAGGTGTGTGTGTGAGTGAAGATAAAGTAAAATCATAAGTCGTGATGAGCCTGATGTATAGTCACTCAACAACAGGAGTCCAGTGTCTCTGTCCTGTCACTGTGAGTTTCCAAATGTCCACACACTCATTTCCTGCCTCTGCTCCCATTTGTGGATTTCTTGTGCAATGTGTTGAAACGGAAGAGTGTGCTTCCTCCACAGTGAATGGGCCTTTTGTGTGGCGCTGTAGAGCACCGCGGCTCATCATCTGCTCCAAAATCTGTCTATTGTGAGCTTGATATGAAAATGTCTTCACTGCGCACACATACCCATAGTGAATGTTTGTGTAGCCGTTACATCTGAGATCATGAGCAGTTAGAATTATGCCTGAAATATGTTTTATATTTCATGTATATGTATGTATTGTAGCTTTAGATTCTGATTCATTTTATTTGTCATTTGCAGTAAAACCACATTGGAATACATTTGCAAAAGTCCCCAGTGTGTACAAGTCAAGTACCTAAATAAAACCATGTTAAATGTACAGAAGTATAACAAACAAAACAGTGAAAAATTGGCAATGTGAAATCAATCGACTAAAACAGTTTCAATACAAGTGCTCTGTTTAAACTGATAACAGCTTGTGGAAAGAAGCTGTAATACGCATTAAAAGAGGAAAGTGTTTGTGACTTACAACCTAACTCAAGACACTGTTCATTTTGATTTGTTTTGTCTTCCCCCAGCCTTTTATGCCATTGGCAAAGTTGCGCTGTTCCCCAGATGTGCACCACTTCCTGTGCCAGGCCTTTTATCCTCCATGCCTCGAGGAAAACAACGTGTTTGGTCCCTGCAGGGAGGAGTGCAAGACCGTGCTATCCGGCTGTGCAAAGGATATCAGCACTTTTGGCATTACATGGCCCCCGGAACTACAGTGTGACAAGTAAGTTTGGCAAAGTCTGACATTCTGAAATCTAAATTAGTTTAAGTTAACATGCTGTGTATCGATTGGATGGAACTCAATTTTGACACCAAATTAATCACGGCGGGTGGACTACGATGATATTAGACCAGATTAAGATCATTCTAAAACTAACCATAGGAAAGATAAATTGTTTGTGCAATAGGTTATGTTCATTTTGTAGAATTCTATTTCAATTGAAAGACAGAACTATTTAGAGAAGAAGCCATTTTTGAAGGTAAAATAACATGAGTTTTATTTGATTTGGGAAAGATGTTTGACTTTTGACAGAACTACCATTGGTGTCTCCAAATATTATTTTGTCACTGCTCCCTACCATTCTAAAGCAAGTCTAAACTCATGTCAGAATAACTTACTTTCAGTGTTGAGTCTCATTCATAGTTTTTTTTCCTTTTTTTGCATCAAAACTCAATACAGGAGATCTTTTTTTCTTTCTGTCAGACTGTACAACAGATCTGTATGAGTTCAAATATGCCCTATTGTTTGGTAGTTAATTAGAAATGTTCGTTAGTTAGATTTTTTACAATTGATCTACCTATGTTATGTGTACTTGATGTACTGTGTGTTTATATGGATGTATTTTCTGCTTCTGGACACCTGAGTTTCTCCTAATGGGATCAATAAAGTATCTATCTATCCATCTAATCTGAGGGATGCTAGCAAAGGTTTTCAAAAGGGTTAGAGCATTGGATTTATTCTCTTACTTACTAACTTATTCTCATCCTAAAATAATGGTGTTTCTCTCCAGGTTGCCTTCCTGCGGTGGCATCGATCCGGACTCCTCTCTACAAGCCACCACTCCCATGAAATCTTCCCCGGCAAAACGCGACCTTGGCTTTTGGTGCCCGCTGCAGATCAAGACCAAATCAGGTTTTGGCTCTTCTTTCCTCGGCGCTGACGACTGCGCCCCGCCATGCTCCAACATGTACTTCAAGCCACACGACATCGACTTTGCCAAGAGCTTTATTGGCGTGTGCTCCATCGTTTGCCTCGCGGCCACACTCTTCACTTTCCTCACCTTCCTCATTGACGTCAAGCGTTTTCGATATCCTGAGCGGCCGATTATTTTCTACGCAGTCTGTTATAGTTTCGTGTCACTGATCTACTTCATCGGATTTCTGCTGGGGAACAAAGCGGCCTGCACGGAGCCCTTCCACCCCACCGGCATGTTTACGGTGGTTCTTGGATCCCAGAGTAAAGGATGCACCCTGCTTTTCATGTTGCTCTACTTCTTCACCATCGCTGGAGTCGTCTGGTGGGTCATTCTCACCATCACCTGGTTCCTGGCGGCGGGGCCCAAGTGGAGCTGTGAAGCCATTGAAAAAAAAGCGGTAAATTACTGTGTTTTTGTTTCTTTTGTGTTTTTATTACGAATGTATATAGAATTTACAAAAATGTTCATTATTTTCCTTTGTTGATTCCCAATCCCAATAACAAACCCTGCCAGTGTTCTGCCGGTTGAACCCCCAATGTCACCAAAACTCAAAACTTATGGCAGTCATTATTTACTGACACATCCAGGGCTATTGTTGTGCCTGATGCCACAACTACAAATATTTGGCATTTTACCAAGACATTTATAGAACTGTATATTCAGTATATGCAGTACAATTTTGCATGCTCAAATGCAAAAAATGTACTGTATATACTGATTATACAGTACAGACATATAGCGTTTACATTTGTCAACTCCTATAGGATAAGAGAGGAATCAATGTACTGTATTTGATCTTCCTTACTTAAGACAGTGTTTTTTTTTACTTATTGAGAACATATATTTTTTCTCTAAATTATGCATTTGATCAATAAGCCACAATTTAAACTTGAGTAATATTAACTTTCGAAAAGCAACATTATTTTTTACATTTTGTACGTGAATATTAAGGTCTTGGTAAAATGCCTAATATTGTAGTTGTGGCATCAGGTTCAACAATAGCCTTGGATGCGTCAGAAAATAATGACTGCCAAAAGTTTTGAAACAGTTTTGGCAGTCAAAAAATAATGTGTGAGAATGTACCTGGTTCAATTTCACATCAATCGGCAATTGGCATCAACATTAGGTTTGATTTTTGCCAAAAGCGGAACATTTCAACTTGAAAATCATCGTGCAAATGTAACAAGAATTAAAATCTAGGGTTCTTTGTTGTTACATGGGAAAAAAAGCTTTTTGTATTCCAAATGTTGACTTGCTTTTATCCTGTTGCAAGTTTTTTACAGTGTATCAGCATCAAAACACAATTTATTTGTAAAAGTGTTGCTCTATGTGTTTGACACCAAAATAGACATTGCATTAAATCACAGAGAAAAGTATACTGTGACTTTTTGTGTACTGACTTAAAAGTAGTAATAGTAATATTTCAGAAAGGTCTACTTATCCATAATAGTGAAACAACATGACTACCATCCATAGTGAATAGAATATGTGTAAGCTATATTCTATATAATATAAGTTTTCTTTTTGTCAGGTGTGGTTCCACTCGGCTGCCTGGGGAATCCCTGGTGCACTCACTGTCATGCTTCTGGCTCTAAATAAAGTTGAAGGCGACAACATCAGCGGCGTCTGCTTTGTGGGCCTGTACGACCTGGATGCGCTTCGCTACTTTGTCCTGGCTCCGCTCTGTGTGGGCGTTGTGGTGGGACTTTGCCTGATCCTGGCCGGCATCGTCTCCCTCAACCACGTTCGGCAGGTCATCCAGCACGACGAGAGGAACCAGGAGAAGCTCAAGAAGTTCATGATCTGGATCGGCGTGTTCAGCTGCCTGTATCTGGTGCCACTGGTCGCACTATTGGGCTGTTACACCTATGAACAAAGCCACAGGAGCCACTGGGAGGCCACCTGGCTCAGGGAAAACTGTCAGAAGTACAGCATCCCCTGCCCCTCCAAGGTACACACCGTTTAGCTTTGACCACTAGAGCTGTGTGATGTTTATTTCAACAATACTACCGATCATTTTGAACTAGTTTAAAAGTTTGTATTTATTTTATTTATTTTGTTTATTTTATGTATTTTATTATTTTATTTATTTATTTATTTATTTTCTTTTTTTATTTGACAGGTACATTGCACAAGAAGTGATGTTGTTCAGACCGGACATATATACAAGCTAATTTTCATGTCCCCAAAGTGACTGCAGGTTTACAGTGTGCAAAGAATTAAGAAATGGAATGGCCTTGTTAGCATCTATAATACAGGTCAAATACAACACCTCTAACCAGAAGTAATGAATTTTCTTTTATGCACACTGAGGGGAAATTGAATATTATATCATCTTCTCCAATTCTAATAGAAATGTAATATCATATGATTAACATTGTGACTAATCCCACACAGGATGTTGAGCCTCAGCACCCAGACCTCGCACTGTTTCTGGTGAAGTACTTGATGACGTTAGTGGTGGGGATTTCTTCTGTGTTCTGGGTCAGCAGCAAAAAGACCTGCTCTGAGTGGGCCTACTTCTGCAACAGGACCCGCAAGAGAGAGTAAGATTATTTTATCATGTTCCAAAAGTTGCACAATTAAAGGATTGTTAACTAAAAGATATATTCCTTTCTTTAAAATATTATGCTTCAATTATGCTGTATTCTAGTTGTCTGTTTGGTGTTTGAGTTATACATCTCTTGTCTTATATAACTTAAGTGGGCATTTTTGAGAATAAAGTGTAAAATCTTCTAAAAAATCCCTCAATGTAATTAATACACTACATTTCTAACAGATATGATCTTAGATATCACCTTGAAAGAAAACTCTTTGGTGCAATGAGCCAAAATAACTGAACATAGAATATGGGACCCGAGGCATGTCTGGTATTTGCTATAGATTTATTAACGCCAACGTGTTTCGACAAAAGTTTTCTACAGGTCAGGATAGACACAGGTGTGAACTTAAAAATATAACCTTCTTAGTAAAAAGTGCTGTGTAACTTGGCATATGCACGACCCATACTCTCTTTTTTTCCCTTCAGTCCCATCAGCGAGAGCCGCCGCGTACTTCAGGAGTCATGTGAGTTTTTCCTGAAGCACAACAGCCGTGTGCAGCACAAGAAGAAGCACTACAAATCAAGCGCTCACAAACTCAAGGTGGTCTCTAAATCCATGGGCACGAGCACCGGAGGAGTACCCACCAGCGCCTCCGTCTCCGTAGCCACCAACCAAGAACCTACACCGTCTGGTTCTGCACCTCCCCAGGGCTCTTATTCTGAGGCCTCCATCCGGGATCACATGGAGAGGGGAGTGTCCAGCCGGAGCTCACGCCGAGATCCAGACCGAGATCGAGACCGACATCGAGACCGGGACGAAAGGCATAGTAAAGAAGGCAGCTCCGGCAAAGTCAGCAGCCTGTCCGACAGCTTGGCACGTATCGCTGATGGAAGGTAATTTATGCATCGATCAATGTGATTATCTGTAGATTATTCACACATTGTTCATGTTTTTCTCATTTTGCAATAAATTAATCACAAATTAAACGTTGATAAGAATAACTCCATTATATAAAGTGCATTTTTGGACACTCAAAGACACCAGTATGTGCCATTGGCCACTCCAAGCACCACCAATCATTCAAGCACACACCAGACTGATACTAGGCATCACACCCACCATGGACACAGCGATAGAATAATAGTTTGGCACTTTACAGTCGCAGGAAGGTGAAACTCAGGGACTTGTTTTTGATCATTGTATTTGTCAAATGTACAACAGTTAAGTAGCATATTGAACCTAAACCTTTCCTCTTGTTTGTATTATACTGATATATAAATCATTTGCAAGTTTTCTGACTTTTCTTTTCAGGAATACTCCTAGAAGTGACCACTCTGAAGCCAAGCGGGTTTCCTCAGTCCATCCAACATCAAGCTTTAAATCTACCCCACAACAGCAACCTCCAGAAGTGCAGCCAACTCCAAACAGTGCACAAGGCTTATGAGGAGAGGCCGGAGACGTCCCCACGAACTGAACCTGTTTCTACTCAGCGTCCACATGTCTTTCACATGAATGTATCATCATCTGTGTCAGGGCGTGTATTCTACCACTGCTGTCTTACTGTAACATACCTGACATATTTTAAACTGTATTGTACCATATTTTATTTAAGACCTACTGTATAGAATAACTGGACTAGTCTCAACACTGGACATTATTAAGGTCATGCCAAAGGCTCCAGCTGTATTCAGCCTTTATATTTTCTCTGGCCATGTTTACGTGCACTACAAAAATCTGATTATTAGTGAATATCTGAAGTTAGTCATGATTAGGATTTCACGTTAGACAATTACAGCTAAAGTAATTGTTGATATCTTCATGATTCTTCACACGTCAGTAACGTGAAGATTGTTTGAATATTTATCCGTTTGAGCATTTTTTTGTCATGAAAATACACATTTGATAGTCAGATTTATCTTGGGCATGTAAACACATACCAAAAATGATTATTGCGTCATCTGATTATTGACAGATTTACTAGTCGTGTAAAGGTCAGTTAATCAGAGCCTGTACTTTGCTACTGTTAAGAAAATAATTACACTTTTTGCAAGGGATGTATTTATGTTTTTTGATATTTTTACTCTTCTTACTAATATGAATCTGGATAGTATAGCTTTTTAACATAATATCTTTTGTATGGGATGAGAGCTGTTTGTGTGATTGTTTTTTCTATTACCAAAAGTCAAATTGACTTTGCACTAAGTTGTTAGAAGCACAATGATGTGTTGCTGATTATGTTGTGATATGGTACATGTGTGTAAATACTGTATACTTTGAAACTTATCAGAATTTTCAGATTCACTTCTGTTACAATTCTTTATCCCTCCAGTTTGACACTTTGTTGCTGTTAAAAGGTTTTCCTACTGCAGCTTTTTAAAGGGAACATTTCTTGTGTTACTAGATATCAAAAACTCCAACACTGTTTTTTTTCTCAAGTGTCTTGTTTTATATGAATGTTTTGCACCGTTTCATGAACAAACAACAATTAAATAAAAGTATTTCATTATATTTGCCTTACATGCACCTGCGCACAATCCATGATTTATTTCCAAAATAATGAATGACCAGTCCGCTTCCTCTTTACCTAAACCTTTTTACATTGACTCTAAAAATGTCTTGTCCTCAGCCTCGGTGCTTCCCTTCCTCAGGCTCCTGCCCCTCGCCCTGCCTCCCAAAGACGCGGTGCTGTTGGCTCTGGAGACCTTTGCGCACAGACCTTATAGACATAGATCACACACACGCGGTTATTATGATGTCTCCCATAGTTGGCCGCCTGCTGCTACTCGTTTGTTTGGCGTTGCCGCTTTATGGCGTGGAAAAGGTGAGAAATAGAGGATACCGAAAGGATCCTGACGCGGATAAGGTACGTTTTTTGCTCCTTTTTGGTGTAACCCATTCTAAACGCATGCTTGTGCCGTGCGTCATTTGTGCCAACTAGTGCCACGTGACCATGATACCACACTAAATGTATTACCCTATACCTTAAATAATGACCAGCGTCTCACTAATGCAAGAATAATGAAAGAAGGAAGTCACTGAGGTCATTTGTATGGATATAAGTGTATATTACAGTAGACACCTTTTGAATATCCATGTACTGAAAGATGCTGCTATTCCTAACAATACGTTTCTGGTTTATCATCAATCCATTGGAAAGTAATAATTGCTTTTACACATCCTTTCATAATGCAATATTGGTATCAGGGATATAGAGTGTGTTTTTGTGGATAGTTTTCCTAGACTTTGCACAACCTTAAAGATGGTATGAAGGGAGTCATTGTCCCAGTCCCTCAGAGAACCAAATGAAAGTGAAGCTGCTGTTTATTTTGGTTGTAGACCTCATCAGATAACACTTGCTTGGAGGGTAGCTTGTATATTTACCAGTTGTGACCCATTGCCCAATTTGAATCCCATATGAACACCAGAATGAATAGAATGTTGTGTTACTATTTTATACACATGCAGTGCTCGGGAAATGATGCAGACAAGTCCAACTGTACTATGCATTCAGGATCAAGAAGATCTCTTAAAAACATGGTAAACACATTGTCTGTGAACTGTTGAACTAAAGGGAGCTGTAATGCATTATAATGTGTGTGTCCTGCTGTGCTTTGATAAAGACTTGTGCATGAAACACTCCTGCTGCCTGTGTCTCAGCACTATGGGGCGAATGCGGCCTTTATGCCACATTTACAGTAATGGACTGTGCTTCTACTAATATTCCTTTGAGTTGGAGAGTAATTCATGCAGGCAGCCTGGCAAAAAAAACTCCAAACTGTATTTGAGCCTGAGCAGTGCTGCTGAAGGGACAGAGCCTCCTTTCATTAGTTGACTGTAGGAAAGCAGTTTAATACTTTTTATGAATCATATAAGGTTGTGCACACACAAGGAGGAATAAGATCTTGTGAAATGTGTATTTGGATCTAACAAAAAGCAATTAAAGCTGAATTACCTAACTCTATCTGTTTGTTCCATAAATACATTTTTTTCTTTCCCAATAGACTTTTTGTGAAGAAATCAGACCACAAAGGGATGTCTTTATCTTTCTACAAAAATGTTTATCTTTGACGTACTGAGAGCTGAGTGAGGTTGCTCTCTTTTTCAGCTGATCTAAAGATACGACAGAGAAAATTAGTGGTTACATTTATTACAAAGTTATTTTTTTTAACACTAACCCTAAGAGACTGTAATGCTCAAACACAACAACCAAACAAATAAATATAATTGTTAAAAATTGTCATAATATCGGCTCATTTCTTGCGGGACACATGTCTGGTGTTGGAAATGAACAGACAATAGAAAATGACTGATAGGCAGGTTTCTACCAAAGCATCAGTCAAGTGCGCTCAAGAATTATGAGGTGCTTCACGGTTTCATCAATGGGTCATGCGTCTAGAGTCTATGGTCTAAACTCCGTCTGCTGTCCGTCTGCCAGATCCATCCAGGCTTCTTTTCCCACAGATGATGTCACTATAACCATGAACTAATGGATAACACAGGACACTTCACCATATGTTAAAACCCACCTGGTTTTCCAATAACGCTAATTATAACTCAAATGTTCCTACTCCACAAATCTTCAAATTATTGGTTTTGTTGGAGTCATTACAGAGTGTCCTTGCTCCATATATCTTTGATGTCACGTGACCCAAAATGATTTAAACTTCATTCCCCTAAGAAAGTTAATATGCAGACAAAGAAAGAAAATGTGTTTAAAGACCAAGGTCCATGTGTTTAAATCTCCCAAGAAAAATATAAAATGCAAGGTAATAAATGCTTAAAATAAAGGCGTTTTTATATTGATTCAAGGGTATTTTTGCTCTATCTTGTTTTACCACTGTTAAAATGTGCTCTTATGAACCCTTTTTGTCAATTTTTATAGTGTAAGTGTATAGTGCATAAATGTTTTGTACTCTTTTGCTAAAATTGTTATGTCATAAAATAACACTGAGCTATCTTGGGTTATCGTGAAGAAGAAAAGAAAACAGAGCAAAGCGTTATTTATTGTGGGGAATATGTTGAGCATAACAGTTTGTGGTCTATGGTTAAATAAAAGTAAAAAGAAAATAAACACCCCTTTCTGTGCTTAGTTTGCAAAAGTGAATGGAGGGGATACACGAAGCTTCTGAATATATGTATTTATTTATTCTTTCTATATTGTTTATCTCTTTTAACAAATGATCAGTATTCTGGGTAAATCTCTCTTCTTGGAGTGGTCAGTAGAGGATTTTGTATGCAGCCGGTTGGTTGTTCGTGGAAAGATTGAGTGAGGCTACATCTGTTTAAACATAGAAGCTTGAAAAATAACACAATGAATCACAATCACACATACAAAAACAAATGTGTGACCGGACATTTCCCATTTCAGTGGTTCTCCAGCTGATGTGCATGTATCACTAATGCTCCTTCTCCTGGTGATACTCAGGTCTCTTCTGTATCGACATGAGAAATCTATTTTTAGTTCAATGTTTGAGACCAGTTTAATTTATTAAAATGGGGGATCTCATTTAGTTGAAGTACGTCTATAGCATTTCCCTGTTCTCCTGTAGTACTCCTAATTATCATATATTCAAATTTTATGTGTGAATGAACCTCTTTTAGGGTGCATTTAGGGCACGTTCACATAAGTTGTGTGATTCACTAATTGAACAAAGTCTGGTTCACTTGAGGTAAAAAAATAAATAAATAAATAAACAACTCCATATATCTGTTTCAATAGATGTAAACTGACACTTTGTTTTTTGGTGGTTTTACATCCTCAAATAAAGCATGTTCTTTGCCCTAAGTGAACCAGAGTTGGTCCAGTTACAGTGAACGTTCCATAATAACATGGGATCTTAAAAGCTACTTTATGTGTGATTTCTTGCTTTTCTCTATACTCTTTGTGCTGCCAAAATTGATCACATCTGTTTTTTTCCACGTCTAAGTCTAATCATAAACTTAAGGGAATGTTGTGTTTATGTCCGACCGGTGCTGTTTATTGGAACTTTCCTATATTAATTGTGTCTTTGTTAGTCACTGCTTTTGCCGGGACTAATCCAGCGTTTGAAAAATCCCCTAAAGCATGTCCACTAACAAGAAGATTTGAAAAATTTTTGTTCCAGTTTGGCAGCTGCATGCAGGGTCCAGCTGGGACTACTGGACGAGATGGTAACCCAGGAGCCAATGGTATTCCAGGCACACCGGGTATCCCAGGACGTGATGGAATGAAGGGAGAGAAAGGAGAGTGCATCAGTGAGATCTTTGAGGAGCCCTGGAAGCCAAACTACAAACAGTGTGCATGGAACTCACTCAACTATGGTATTGACCTGGGAAAAGTAGCTGTAAGTATTAAAATGAAAAGGAGCAATAGGATCATGTGAGATCACAACCTTCCACCTAGCCTATGGTTTAAAATTGCAGTGGTGGGAGGCTGAAAAATCTTTCCTGATAACAATGATAAGTGTCAACGGTCAGACCTCTATAGATGATCCCTCTGTAATTCCGGGTGTAATCCCATTTAAAAACAAAGTTTTTTAAATTTATTGTTCCACATCAACTACGGTCCAATAATTTTCTCATCCAAATTGTTTTTATTTCCATTGTAAATAACAGGAAGTCACAGACTACAAATGTGCATTGTTAAATTCTGCAGACAATGGAATAGATATAAAGGCATGCATAATAACATTAATATAAAATACACACACAATAAAAGATTAACTTAACACTCATCAAAATGGTGACAATATTGACAAACATGGCTCATGTTGGTAGAAAGGACTACTGGATGACATCATGCTTATGATGATGGGTTTGTTTTCTTTATACACATTATTTCCTCCTTTACTTTTTCTCCATCTGAAATAGAATTCTAGAACATGAACGCAACCTATTGTTAGAAGATTAATCTTATTCTCAAAATTCTTTCAGGACTGCACATTCACAAAGCTCCGCACTGACAGCGCTCTCAGGGTCCTGTTCACCGGTTCTCTCAGACTCAAGTGTAAGAATGCATGCTGTCAGAGATGGTACTTCACCTTCAATGGAGCAGAGTGCACTGGGCCTCTCCCCATAGAGTCCATTATCTACCTGGACCAGGGCAGTCCTGAGCTGAACTCTACTATCAACATCCACCGGACATCCTCAGGTACATTGCACAAACAGAAATGCTCTTCATGGCATTTTTCTTCCTCTCGGTACACAGTAGTGATAAAGTACTACTGTAGCCACAGCTGCCCTGGAGCAGACTGACAGAAACTAAGCAACCAGTCTGTGCCATTACCTTCTGCCCACCAACAATCATTCCAATGTGGGTGAAGTGTCTTGCCTATGCTGACACTTTACAGCCTCCCCACTGTGGCACCTGGTGTTCCCAGAGGTCTCCCATCACAGTACTAACCAGGCCCTGCTTTGCCTAGCTTTGTCAGGATCAAGCGTTCACATCAACATCTGTTCATATATGTATTTATCTACTCCAGAGAATAGGATACAGGTTACAATGAAAGCACCACACAGCCACATAATGATTCAGACCTACATATTAAAAGCCTTATTTTTTATTTTTAACATGTACAAAGATTCCATGCTCATCAAGGACTAGACCATATAATATAAGAAGTGAGATGGCGTTTCAGCCTTGTTGGCCTTCAGGGCTTAATTCAATCCTCTTTTCTCATTAAACATTGCTGTGGTTCTGACAAAGCTGTTTTAATGCGTCTTTCTGAAAGGCTGACAACTGCTCTGTGTCCCCGGCTTTAAACACAAAACTGAACACACCAAGTCCACATTTGTCTAATCAATTAAACAGTAAACAATTTAAACTGGACTGCTTATCTATGTCGTTGCGCAACTTTAACTTGAATACATTTAGCTAATTCAAAGCTTTAAATGGCAAACTCAAGACTTTCCGAAACACATGTGCAACAGTTAAATAAGGGATGTTGGACTTTCAGCTAATGCAGCAGTTTTACTTATTCCTTTTGTAGTGGTAACTGGTTCACCACAGTTTTAACCAATAATGGATAAGGAGGCAGACGGTTTGGGCGTTTCCTTAAAGCTTTTTTTCCTTGTTCTTTTCCTTAGTGGAAGGGCTGTGTGAAGGAGTGAAATCTGGACTGGTGGATGTGGCCGTCTGGGTGGGGACCTGTGCAGACTATCCCAGGGGTGATGCTTCTACAGGCTGGAACTCTGTATCTCGCGTTATCATTGAGGAACTGCCAAAATAAATACGAGAAACTGAAAGGGAGACTCCAGTTGTGGTGCTATAACAGTGTCAAGACCTCAAGATCACTACTTGAAGGTGTTGTTTGTCTAAATGCTAAGCTAGAGAGCAAGCCTTTAAACACAGACGCCGTTTCATGTGTTCCAGACATAACTCTAGTGTCTCTGTTTTGGTGACACTGACAATTTAAAGCCTTTTTTCCTTTTACATTTTTGTTCAATGATGGATGATGAATAAAGTACAATTTTCTAAAATGACTGAAATATGACTTCTGCACTTCACACAAAAAACATCTAATTTAGTACATTATCTATTTCCAGATAGTTTAACAGATTATATTTTTGTTGCTGTTATTGTTAAATACTATTTTTACAGTTGATTTCAATCATAGATTTGAACAAAACAAGTATTTTCATTGACATTCTTTATTGTGTAAACGTGAAGCCAGCTGTTTCAGCAACTGTTGTTGACCAGTTTTCATGTTTTTCTAAAAGCATAACAATACCTACATTTACTTATGTAGGCAACACAATCCTATTCAGTTATTAAAGGCGATCAGCCTTTAATAACAATAATTTATGTAAAAAATATACAAAAACAGCTAAGACGTTCCCCATTATATACCTTATTTTGTAGCATATTCCTGTTGGCATAACCATAAAATGGAATATGACAAAATTTTGAGTTTAAAATAAACCTGCATCTTATGTACTAAAAAGTAGAATCAAGTTCAAAGCCCTCATTGACTCACAGCGTCTATGAATGGATCCCACAGCGGGACATTTGCATTTACGGAGGACAGTGATGAGTCACGGATTAAACATGTTGGTTTCTCGGTTCCTTTTGTTCAGTCCGTGTGAAAATCTCACTTGTGATGTTGTGTGCTCCCAGTCCTAGCTTCTGCTCGGGTTTTCAGTGGAAACCTCAGTTGGGTTGAGTCATGAGCAAACGAGACACGTTTTCATAAACTACGAAGGTGATGCAACACGCTGGAGTGACTCGAATCAAGTTGGGACCAATTCCTTTGTAGAATCCAATTCCTCCCTCATTTCTGCAAATAAGATTAGAAAAAAGAAAAATATCCTCATCCACAAATATATTTCGAATAATCTCACGGTCATTAATACGGTTAGAAACGCAACCCTTAAAACATTATTACTATCATTATCTAAGTGGACGTTTTTACAGAAAACAGTCCTGAATCCCTTTGAGAACTGCTATAGCCTATAACGTAACGTAGGTACACGTTTTTGTGAAGCCTGGTCCCTGTACAGAAATTGTCCTGGATTCAGGAGCTCAAATAACAATGATAACATTTGTCGTTGGAACACTCTCCAAAAGTTGATTGCAACATTATCTTAGTAAAGCCTAATATGGTTTGTTCCAAAATGTAAGCTCATACCTCCATGTTCGTCTGACAACATCGATAACTCCACTGTATTTATTGTGCTGGTCCTGAAGCCGGGCACGGATCACCTGATAAGGATATGTGGTCGCCACTGCAAATATTTTGGATAATGCTGCCATTGTGATGTACTCCAAAGCACTCTATGGATGAAGACACAGCGTGAGAGCACATGGGAGGGAGAGATGCGGGAAAGTGGATGATTCACTTCTTCAAGATAACCACTGCCAATTGGCAATGTTTTTGTTGAAATTGACCACATATCAAACATGCATGTCCTCAAGCTCAGGTTCACAGATGAAATGACTCACTAGTTTAGCATCTGAAGGAGCTTTCCGATATTTGTTGTAATCTCTTTTGAGCTCCTCGTATGCCATAAACTGCAGTGCCCCATGAGAAGTACCAAACAAGCCAGGAACATAACCCTGTAACAATAAGATTATTATTCAGAGAAATTGGGTAGTATATACAAAGTAACAAAATATGTATTCAAAATAGTAGTAGAGGCGGTGGTAGAGGCTTTTTAAAACCACAAAAATAACAATCTAATCAAATCCCTAGTTGTCAAAACAGTTACTTTGTTCCCACCTCTACCATTCACACGTATCTTTAGATCAGCTTCAGTTTCAAAAAGAGTCTTGTATCTTTCAGTGTACAAGATATGGGTTCTAATAAGATTAAGATGGCATATTTTGATCTGATTTGTTAAAGAAAATACCTAAATACACTCATTTTTTAACAAATGTAAAAATGGAAGAGAAGTCCAACATTTTGTTAACTATCATGTATTCCAAGTCCTAACTGTATATTGTGTAAAATTACTGCATTACACACGATATTATAGCGACATCTTGTGGCCTCGATCTCAAACTACATCAGAGGTATGACGCAACAGCAGTATGGCATAGCGCGTGGAAAAACAAGCAGATGGAACCTAACCTTGTACAACCCAGCGACCCCCTCGTGTCTGTAGATCTTGACCAGGGCGTCCACCATTCCCTTGTACTGCTTTCCTGATGACCCGGCGTCATACTGCAGCACCAGTCTGGTTTTGGTCACCCATATAGGATTTGTTATTGTGAGTGTCAGAATACCTAAATATTTAATCAAAAGCATGTGAAGTTAATAGACTGAACAACAAAGAGGTCACTGTGTGAGTTATTTGGTGAACTGGTTTGGTGCAGTTTGTACCAGCACTAACCTGCCTCAGCTGCAGATACCAAGTGCTCTGTTGCACTCAGCTCAGTCTGACGACCTTCTCTTGTATAGCTTTTTATAGCATTGTAGCTGTAAAAGTAGATTTATTATTAATTGTGAATGTTATAAATTGGCTATTGCAGGCGGCAAGGTAGGTAGGAATGGGTAACATACAAAAAGAAGTAAAGACCCCAAGATGCTCCAGCACCCCAGATATTTGGGGTCACACCTTGATAAAGTCCTCTCAACCCCTCCTGCTGCCACACACTCCGCATACAGTGAAATATACCACTGTACTTAGGTCTGAGCTCCAAGCCGTCACTCACTGTAAGGAAGGCAACAATTGGAAACAAACCAAAATACATATCAAGTAAATGAATAGCAAACATGTATTTATTATTCTACTGCATTTGCACAATAAATGAAAATAATATATATGAAAAAATGTGTTTTCAACTTTTCGAGGTGAGTAAGAAATATGTGCTGACTGCTGGGCTTTCGAGTTTTGATTCTTTTGATGTCAAATTATAGTAGACACAACAAGCAAACTTATGTTTCATAAATAAGTCCCAGCAGAAATATGCTAAAAGTAACATGTTATGAACAAATCAGACCACCACATGGCCACCTCGCCGGCTTGTCTTCATCTCATTAGAAAACAAGTTAACTTCTACATACTTGTTATTACTGTTATTTACTCACTATTTGAAGCTTAGAGCTGAGAGCTGATTGAATAAGTGAGTGGTCTTTTTTAAGAACAGGCTGATCTAAAGATATGACAGAGGCCAACATCATGCATGTGAAAACTAGTAATAGACTCAGCCAGGACTAGAGCCAGGAACGAGTTACATAGATACGAGTTAGCTACATGGACTCATTTAGATGTGGTTTAAAAGTTTAAGACAGTACTTACTGAGCACTTGCTACAACATACTCAATAGATTATGTCACTTTGGTTTGGATACAGACTGCTTTCATAGCGAGATTACTTTACCTGCAAATCTGATTTTGACCAAGTCCAGAGGATGCAGCATGAGAGTAGACAGCACCCCCCCGCTGAGCCCTGCCACCAGGTTCCCCAGCTTCACATGGCTGACGACCTGCTGCAGGTGTCCGGACACAGAGAGCCGTGGGACGGCCTCTGGGACTGACACAGCGCCAGTGTTTGGAGCGGAGCTCATGTTTACAAATGACACAAGCTAACTTTAGCTAGCAGTGTTATCAAATCAGTGAAAAGCAGCACTTAACAGGAGCTAAATTTAGAGAAGACACACAGTCCTTGAATCTGGATGTTTTTCCCCGTCCATAACAAACTGATCGAGCCACGTTTCAGACATGAGCTGCTGCGGAGGTCCATGAGGTCCAGGCTTTACATTCATCTCCAAATGTCAAGTTTCAGCTGCTGACCTTTCCAGAAAGTACAGTTCATACAAACAACATCCGGAAAGACACTTCACAATAAAAGCACGTTTCAGAACGCCTCATATGCTCCCACAGTTTACACAACATTTGAGCCTATAAGTTATATTGACTCGATAATGACTACTACAGTACATAGAATAAATTAACAAACATAGATGAACTCTACTACTCTACGAACATAGATCATTCCGGATATTCGTGTGGTGAAGCTGGAGCTTGATGGCTGCGTGGAGGACCTGCGTCGCATCCCACAATGCACCGCGGAACCACCTCTACTCCTAAACACATGGCGTCTTGTTTTCGCTGCTGATTTTATTAACAATCCATGGATGTATTATTGTAACAAGCCCCTCTGAACGATCTTAAACTACTGCACTTTCTCGTCTTTCAGATGAAGGTTAAAGTCTTGTCGCGGAATCCGGACGATTATGTCCGTGAGACCAAATATGATATTCAACGTGGTAAGTGACTTTATAAAACCCCCTCTTTTAGCTGTAGAGTGGCTAAAAAGATAGAATTGACTCTATATAACACGTTCTACCTACTTTACCACGTCTGCACTCTTTCTGTTATAGAGTACTCTTTGATCCTCGTTGGCTCAATGCAATTTAGTTAAAACTTTCTAAGGTGGACCGTGACTAGTTTTTGGCTTCTTTTCTGTGTGCAGTTCCTAGAAACTACGATCCCAGCCTCCATCCATTTGAAGTCAGCCGAGAATACACCAGGGCTCTCAATGCCACCAAGTTGGAGAGAGTCTTTGCTAAACCTTTTCTGGCCTCTTTGGATGGACACCGAGACGGCGTAAACTGCATGGCCAAACACAGCACCAGTCTGTCTAGTTTACTGTCTGGGTCCTGTGATGGGGAGGTATGTTGTCTTTATTATCATTTTATACAGAGATGTGTCATGCATTCCAGGCTTCTGGTTGTAAGATATTTCCCACTTCTTAAAAAAATCCTCTGGAGCTGCCTAGACTGGTAACTCTACACCAAAGCTTTTAGTTTTATTTTTTTGAACCTAAAAGTGCTTTGTGGGATCAGGTCATTTTCTACTGCCTCAGTTTCCTGCATATAGTAGTTCTGAGTTTGAAAGGAGCTACAGGTCGCCCTGAATATGTGTGATAGTTTAAAATAGATAGATAGATAGATTTCCAGGGGCATACCCTATCTTAGTGAACACCAAGTGGATTCATTTGTTTGTGGCAAACATTTCAACATGTGTTAATGCGACAGGCGGCCAGACCTTCCATGCATCAGCTCTGCTCAGAGAAAGTAACTTCTTTAGTGGAAGTGCTGTAGTCTCAAGCATGATCTTATACAGCTGTTCTTGAGTAAACTTAATCAATGAGTTCTATCTATCCCTAGCTTGATGTCATCAGTCGAGGACCTCTGCTTCACTTCCTATAAATTATAAAACACTTAACCATTTTTCTCCATGTTCTCCAACTGTGACTTTATTTGTATCACACTATTGCTTATATACAACACCATTGGAACAGTTGTCAACATTAGAAAACACAGTAATGTTTCAAAACTGAGAATTTTCTTTACATAAACACAAAGTCAAAGACATTTGTTGTGGCCTATATTCTTAGGCCGTAAATATTATAAATACTTCACATTTCTGAAAATGCATACACTTATACATCTTTATACATCTTGTGCATTTTTCCCTAGTTGAAAATCTGGAATTTGACCAAACGAGAATGTGTTCGAACTCTGCAAGCTCATGAAGGATTTGTCAGAGGAATTGTTGTTAGGTTTTGTGGGACATCCTTTTTCACGGTGAGTTACAATACAATAAAGTATCTCTAAATGTTGCACAAACAGTTGTTAAAGTGATGCAATGTTCTATTCATCACAGGTAGGGGATGATAAAACTATCAAACAGTGGAAAATGCAGTGTCCAGGATATGGTGAAGAAGAGGAACCACTCAATACTATACTAGGAAAGGTATGTAATTTATACAGATACAAACAATGAAGTCGTTTAAATTACTGCATAAAATAACGGGAACACAGACTGTCTTCACAGGACTGGACCATCACAGAACGGAAGGTGTGTTTGCTACATGTGGCCAGCAGGTGGACATCTGGGATGAGCAGAGGAGCAGTCCAATCCGCTCTTTTACATGGGGTGTGGACAGCTTCAGCTCAGTTCGTTTCAACCCTGTGGAGGTAAAGACACACACAGTTCCCATGACTTGAACTTTTTCATATTTATTAAAGAAAAATATTGTTACTTTCCATTTTAAACCAGACTGATCTGCTTGCAAGCTGTGCTTCTGATAGGAGTATAGTGCTTTATGACATGAGGGAAGCAACTCCACTTAAAAAGGTAATTCACACTCTGCTTTTTCTTGACCAATGACATTGTCATTTTAATATGCATTTGTTCCCAATAGGTTGTAATGACCATGAGGAGTAACACACTCAGCTGGAACCCAATGGAAGCATATCACTTTACGTGTGCAAATGAAGACTATAAGTAAGCCTCTACAGTACAGCTGTATAGGGTATGTTTTAAACTATCTGAATGTATTTTGATAATTTTTTAGTCTTTACACTTACGACATGAGAAATTTGGAGCAGCCGCTCTTAGTACATATGGATCATGTTTCTGCTGTTCTGGACATTGACTTTTCTCCGACTGGAAAGGAGTTTGTATCTGCCAGTTTTGACAAAACCATCCGGATCTTCCCCAAAGATGGCGGCCACAGCAGGTAAATTCAAATCAGAATCTCACCTTTCTTTATTCAAAGTGATGCCTATGAATTTAGTTGGCTCATTTTTATTTTTGCTTCTCTTTCTACAGAGAAGTCTATCATACCAAGCGTATGCAACATGTTATCTGCGTCAAATGGTCTGCAGACAACAAATACATTTTAAGCGGCTCAGATGAGATGAATATTCGTCTATGGAAAGCCAATGCTTCAGAGAAACTTGGAGTTGTAAGTTCTAGTTTCTTTTCAATTACTAAATACAACATATGGGGGCTAAGTGTCAGCTGGCATTGAGAGCCACATCTTTAACACAGCAGTAGTTTTTGTGCCAACATAGACAATGTTGGATGTGGGTAACTAACCGTGCCAGGAGGTAGCCAGCGCTCCTGCCAAATGCAATGATGAATGCTGACTTGCCGGTAGAGTCATTCTCAATAAATGTGGTTCAGCAGCAAAAATGCCAGGATGAACAAGAATGATAAAACAACAATGACTGTGGGTTGTTGTTTACTGATACATTTTAAACTCCCCACTCTGGGAAACCCTACCACTTGATTCAGTAAATTAGTGCTTGTATACGGGCAAATTGTCATAAATAATGGCTCAATCCTTTTCTCAGCTGTAAACTACATCTTGAGTTTTACATCCTGCTGAACCGCTCCAATTTTCTAAATAACACTTATGACTGAATAATAAAGATCTTATGCGCCATCTCAAAATATTTTTTTATCCCTATATTCTTCTAATGCAGCTTCAGGGTGAAAAAAACCGGACTGCTTTTGGCACTTGTTTTACTGTCACTCCTCAAGAGGAGATTTATTTGCAAGCATTGCACTTAAAGAGATCAGACAAGGCCTGCTCCTATCAGCAGTTTAAATCTCCTAATCACTTAAAGCAAGCTACACAAAGCATAATGAAACATTAACAATCCAGTTGAACTGAAAAGGGTCTTTAATTATAAAGATTTGCTGAGGTGCTGATTCAATGCTTTGTCAGATCTAACACTTGTGTGACTTCATCCTAATGTGGATTATTGTATGTTATCTCAGACTAACTATCCCAGAATCGCCTTCATTTGTGCATAACTAAAGACTATTCATAAATGAATCTTTGCTGGCATACTGGAAATGTTTGACATATTTGTGAGTGGTTAGCACCCTTGTCGATACAAGGGTATCGACATTTCCAGCAGCAGGGTACTGTGTTTGAACACCAGCCCAAGGCCCTTTTTATGTTCTTATGTTCTCCCTATGCCTGCGGTTTCCTCTGGGTGCTACGGTGCCCCTACTACTGAAAACATGTGCAATAGCCCCGGAACTCCACCCCTGTCTGGAGCCTGGACTCGTGGTTAAATAAATGTTTATTGAAGTAAAAATAATTTATTAAACCTCTAAAAATGCAACTTTAATTTACATTATGCATAATCATGCACACATGCATATGGACATGGATTTAGTGAAAAACCCCATTGGTATTTCTTGTGCTAGTAAACTGGCCACAATGTATATCCAGAGGAAACGTCTACTGCAATAAGATCAGCATCTAACATCTTCCCCCAGTAAATTGAATCTACAACAAATCATTGTTTTTAATTAGAATAAAAGCCTTCAAGCAGAGCGGTCTGAGCCAAGCAGCAGAGGGCGGGGGTTATGAGTGAATGGACAGGACGGGATGATGTTGAGCTGGTGTATTCACTTTTAACAGACATTGATTCAGTTTTGATGAGTTGGTCCCTGTGCATCACTGGCCAGTGTGGAGGCAGCACAATATTGAACTGAAGAAATATTACGGTGTGATTATTAAAATGTTTCAGTTAAGCCTTTTCTAAGAATGCATAGATCTCTTAAATAAGATAGAACACCTTTTTTCCTCACATAGTTGAGACTTCAGTGTTGCAATACACAGTTCAAGGACGGTAAAATCACAGGAAGTGCTCAAGATGGCTGGTAAAATGTATTCTCTAAAATCATACCATAAGTGTCATAAACTTTTTGGGCAAAGTCATGACTAACAAGTGTTCATTAGTTCACAATAAAAAATCTATGCTTAGATATACTTTATGGTATATTTGCTAATGCAGACTGCTAGAATAATGAATGTTTTAACTGCTACAACAATACATTGAATTATTCCACAAAAATACAATGGGTCAATCCTTCACCTGTAAGGATGGATCATATCATACTACAAGTTTAACCTGTATGCTACACATGGGCAACTGGAACATCTGGAGAAAATGACCTACTTATACTGTCACATACATTGTTTGCACCGTGCAACTGGAGTTCAATAAGGAAGTCCATCCATCCATCCATCCATTTTCTTCCCCTTAATCCATTTCTGGGTCGGGGGGGTGGCAGTCAGAGCTGCACCCAGTACACAGAGCACCAGCCCCTCACTGTTCCCCCTGCAGGTGGTGAGTCCACAGGAGTGGACGTCGTTTTTGTAATTATATTTTCCTTCACTCCTAAATAGTGGTTACATTGAATTCCATACTAAAAACAAAACATTATTTTTGTTTTAATATTTATAATTTGTTCCACAGGTGGGCCACAGAGAAAAAGCAGCCACAAACTACAACCAGAAGTTGAAGGAGAAATTTCAGCATCATCCTCAGATCAAGCGCATCGCCCGTCACCGACACCTCCCAAAAACCGTGTACCACCAGTCCAAGGAGATCCGCGTTATGAGGGAGGCCCGGCGCAGAAAGTATGTATAGCTTTCTTACTTGCAGTCAGAGGGGGCATGTTCACACTTACTGGTCTGGTTCACTTTAGCTGGAACAAGGATGGTTTGCACACGTCCACGGATCTAATTCAAAAGATTTAAACTAACTGAAGTGACTAGATGAATTTGTACATGTTTTTTGGGTTTACATTCACAAAGAAATCCAGTAAAAGAACCAGCCAAAAGCCCCTTGTCTTACCTTTTCAGATCTGTTAGTGGCCAGAAACACCGGGTTGCCCTAATGGAAAATGTCCCACACTAACCTTCCTTCCATGACACTGGCCTTACATACTCATTTCCAGCCTGTATGGTGGATTGATTGTCCCAGTTTGCCCGGCAAAGCGGTGATTCATGGCTTGATCCGGTTGTTTTTGTAATTACTGACACTATTGTATAAGCTCAGAGGTGTGTTTGGTCTGGGAATGATTTACTATCTCTGCTTTATGCATTATCTTCTGGGTACATTAGTGTAGGCAGTGACGTAGGTGTTTGGTCAACAGTCTAGCCACTTCCCCCACCTCTTTGTGTTTGCTCGTCTATCTCCTTCTGCCCTCTATCCTCTTCAGATGAAAACAAATGCTTAATGCTTCGTTCTTTTTCTTCTAGGGAGAAAAATGTCCGCAAGCACAGCAAACCAGGATCTGTCCCTGTGGCCACAGAGAGAGAGAAGCATGTGGTGACAGTTGTGAAATAATCCATCAAAACAAAACAAAACTTGGATATAACTTGGCTTGGGCTGATTGGAGAAATTGTCTACAGATTTGTTTTCATCTAATTAATGCCAAAATCTTCTCCTAATTAATTGTGCATAATTCAAGCTGCTTTAACAGGAGTGCATCAAAGGTGTAGCATTCTTGTCCGCATGGGGATATGTTATTGATTTGCATTATTTTACTTGTAGTGCAATCGGCTTATCCAATGGAGAGATCTGGGGCCAAATTACATTTTAGATTTAGCTTTTAGATTTAGCTGTTTTTTATTATATCATTATTATTATTTAGGCTGTGATTGAAATATACTCAATGTGCATACTTTTAGTAAATGTTGAGGCATTTCAGACAAAGAATCTCCAGTCACATAAACGTCTCCTCTCCATGCTCCTCTCGTTGAAAAAGTTGGATCATCTTTCATCATCATAAACGAACATTGTGTGGATGTTTCTTGTATCCAAGTTCTCTTCGCTTTATGGTCAGAAATCCTCATTAACGTTTTTGCTTTTGTTGTATTTTTCTGTGAAACTGGAAAATAAACTTTAAAAAATGTATATGGACATTGGCCTAAAGTATGTTTATTCATGGAGACCTAAGCTCCAAACATCATGGTTGTTTCTGTTCCAGTTGAAGATGATGTGTATCGGTGCTAATTTACTCAGGCACAGCACTAATGAGGTAGACTCTATCCTCTTAATGTTGACTTTCAAATCCTTTCAGCGCTGCGGCCCAAGAGATCTCACTGAGACCTGTCAGGACTGAAGTAACAAGGACATGAGCGGCTCTATCAGATTTAGACTGACTGATTAGAGGGATGTTAAGTTCTGTATACGACTACTCAGAAATCAAATGTCAAACACTTGTATCTCTTCTCTAAAGATAAATATAGCCTATAATAATACCTAAACAAAAAAGCCTGACATCAATTGTTTTATTTGGGATGGGTCATGATCTGCATTTATCTAACGTGTTTCATATCACCAGATCTCTTTATGAAATATGAATGATGGGTTTCTTTCAACAGTGCAGTTCACTCCAGATGCACAGTCCATGTTTTGCGGCTGCTATGCGCCTGCTGTCAATGAACAGCCAGCGTCCCCTTCACCAGCTCCGTTTATTCTTCTACGTGTTACTGGAGCTCCGCCCCTTCTTCCTATCTGGATTTTTCCCTCTCTCTCCCCCTCTCCCCTCTTTCTCATTGCATCCATTTTTGTGCATTTAAGAAATCACCAAGAATTAGGAACCTGGAGGAAAGCGAGCTAACGAGAGTGGAAGAGGAGGGTTAAGGACTCTAAAACAGAACCAGGGCGGACGGGGCATCTTTTATTTCCACCATGCGCGGAAACCCTTTCTAAAGGATGGCAGCGATGGGTTAGACAGGATTTAACATGACTGCAAAATAAAAGGCAAGACCTATTTTTAATCCTACATTTTATCCCTGGATGGATGATTGTGTTGGGATATAGGCTACCTGAAGGTTGTAACCTGCAGCCTATGCACGCTGTTATTGCTATATCCATTTGTTTAGGCCATTGGGCCAGTTATAAATGCAGTGTATCAACCTGCAACAGTTTAAATAATGCGAAATCTTCAGCGGTGAACCCATTTGACAACCTCATAAACAAATTGTGACGCTTATTTATGCAGCAAGGGCTCGCTTGTGTGCATCCTGTAGGCAAGATGTCATGCCCCCAGTCCAAAATATATTCATTGAATTGTCTCACCCAACGCTACCGCTACTTTGATAGTATTTTTGTGGTTTTGTAGCGAGCGTTTGTAAAAGATGTCTGCTCCACACGGGCCCCGGGGCGGCCCTGGCCCCGGCCCCGCTGTCGCTGCTGCCTCGGCGGCAGGCGCCATGCCGGAGATGCCGGACCTCAGCCACCTCACGGAGGAGGAGAGGAAGATCATCCTCGGAGTCATGGACCGGCAGAAGAAGGAGGACGCGAAGGAACAGTCCATGCTAAAGTAAGAATCGGAGGCTTGTGGTTGACTGTCATTGTGTGAACGTCTTTAATCGTGTCTATGTTGGAACTGGTGCCTCTTGACATCCAACCTTTAAGTGCTCGATGCTAGCCGCTGTGACAAGGTTAGAGTTATGTGTCTACTGCTTTGCACTGAGATATCAACTATGACTTGAGAAAACAGATCCATACATGGCTTTCTGTGATGCGGCATTATTAGGCGAAACATTCAACCCGGTTTCCCCCAGTTGGTTGTGGGGCAGTGTAATGGGGTGGGTTAGCAGCGACGGGCGCCATTTTCACGTAAAAGCACGCCAAATTGCTTAACCTTTCCCTGCTGAACGTCACCGAGATTACACAATATGACAGTGGCAGAGTGGCTCCGTGTGCCGCATGCAGGGTGTGGGTAGTGGTGTGTGTGACCGGGCCGTAGGTGTGCGTGGTGCCCTGCTCTCTGCACAGATGTCGCTCCGAGCTCTTCAGCACCACGGAGCTGTCCACTCTGACCGTGTTTAAGGTGGACCGGAGTGTTTCCGCTTCCATCACCTTTCACGCTCTGTGTGTGAGCCATAATGCCGTTTTAGGACTTAGTATTACGTTTGGTCACGCTGTTCAGGTGATGGTCCAGTGATGAAAAAATGCTGATAGATTGAACATCTGAAAAAAGCAAGCAGGCTAATGAGCAGGGATCATGGATTAAAGGGCGGTGGCCTTAAATTTCTTCTTGTAACTGCTTCTTCAATGAAAAGGATGGAGACATTTGCATACTCACAGACCGTGACAATGTGCAGCAGTATTGCTCTCTCCAAAGTTATAAGTTACCCAAATAATATCATTATACATAGACAAGAGCAGTTTTTCTCACAATCTACATAAACACATTGAAATGTCCATACATGTAAAAGTCATGTATGTGATGATTTTCGTCGTTCCTGCTCTTTTCTCTTAAATAAAATTCCTACGAGGCTAAAGTTGTGCATTAATCTCTATGTAACGTTGGTGCATGATAAACATGACTCATGGACTCCAAGACATGGCTACCTCAGCTGCTGCGGTGCATGCTGTGTGAATCATCCAGGCCTTTCTGCTGTTCCCCTACCCATTTGAGAGCTCCACATCCCTCTACTGCCAAACACCCCCTTATTCTCCTTTCTTTGACATTTTGGAGGTAAAATGATTGTTATTTGTAATTTCAGCGTTACAAAGATCGCGTATGACTATTACTACTATTACTTACTATCACAATGTCAAAAATCCTCGTCAGAACTAATCATTTGTGGTGGAGGCTATTTACGTCCATGGGACAACAAGAATCGTAATTTTACATATGGGAAGATGTAAGAAAGAATGAGTCATGTGTTGTTATTCACAAGACTGCTCTTGTGCTTGATACCAGGGGATTTATCCCATTGTTGAATAAGAAATGTCAGTCACTGCTGCAGTTTTTTCAATTATAGTTTATAATTACTGAATATTGTGAATTGGACACTATATATATTTCGGGTCTTTTGTCTATAGGGAGCTCACAATGAGTCATGGAAACCATTTCTTTCTGCATGATTCATAACATCCTAAAGCGGCGGTGAGATACTCAGGGCTGGCACAGGTACAACTGCAGCAGATTAACTTGTCACTGGTTTGTATCATCTTCAGTGCGCTCAGAAACAAACACCCACACTGCAGTCCCTGCTCAACGTAGTACAATCTGGGACTAGTAAAGCAATTCAGTAAATCAGCCACTATATTCATATACACAATTCTTTGAGGTATTCCCCATCGATACGTCTAAAGTTAAAGTTGCTCTACACAACTTTCCTTGTGGATGGCCCACTTTGTCTTGGGTCCACCCATTTACATTTTATTGTTTTGCACAGAAAGGAATAAAATGTTCTATCATCATTAGTGACAAGTAAGTGGCCAGTACAGTAAGTTACCAATCAGAATTCAGACTTTTGAGCCGTAAAAAATATTTGTAATTAAATAGTTAACAATGTTGTTATCCTACTGAAGTGCATTTCAACAAAAAGAATATAATTCAGGCAACAAACAGGTAGTAAACACCATCACAAAAGTGCACAATGCTGTATACTGTAAAATCAAGTAGTCTTAAAAACATGTGGTTCCATTTCATGTTGTATGTTGTAGTTCCAGATACAGTCACAGTTCAGTATGTTTGCATGGCTTTCAGGGAACGTGGCCAGTTGAACATATGTATTAATATAATAGAGGGAATCCTTTAGAGATGGAGGGATGAAGGAAAAGAGGACAAGTGGAGAAGCCTCCAGCTGCTGGGCTTGCCAACTCGCTGTCATCTGACTGAGGTGCCACAGAGAAACAAACTGAGCTGCTGGCTGACTTGCCGGCATCTCATTAAATTCAGCCAATAATGTATACCTTCATACTTTTTGAGTTTCTTTTTCCCATAGTTCCACAGATTTGTTGTTATGAAATGTATGAACCACGTAGAAGTATTATACATTATTAGTATTGTAGATCAATCTGCACTGTCCCATCTAACTGGAACAAATCTGTTATGTTGTAAGAGACAGACAGACAGATAGTGAAAACCTAACCTCTTTGGTAGAGGTAATTATGGCTTGAATTCCCATGTTTCTCCAAGCTAGGCTGAAGTCAGTGGTGACATAAGTGAGTCTGTGCCATAGGCCACTCCGACCGCCATCAAAATAAACATGTATGAACTGCAAAATGCAGCAATACAAACTAAGTAAACCCAAATACCGTGTGAATTCTTTCAAATGAGCTCAATCACTCCATAAATCAGTCATAAAGTGAACTGATCCATATCCCCTCTTTGGTATTCTCTCATGAACCCCATTCTAAGTTTTTGTTTGACTTGTTTTTGGGTTCTTTCTTAACTCATAAAATCTTTTGCAAACTAATTCCTTCACTCATTGAAGGTGCTCAGTGCATAAATATAAATCCATCCATTTTTACCAACTTTGTCTGCTGCCCAGCTGCTTCATATGTATCTTTATTGTGGTGCTACCTGCATGTGGAAAGCCTTAGCCTGTTAGACCTCAGAGGCTAAGCAGGGGGAGACCTTTGCTGGGAGACCTTTGGAAAACACTAGGTCCCTCAGTTTGGTGTCAAAGGGGCCTAGAGCACGGATACCTTGCTTCTGTTCGTCTGCCCCAGAGCATCTGTAGAAGTGTCTTTGTTTGTAATGCATAGACCTATATAAGTACTTTGCATTATTTGTTTTTTTTCTTTATTAACTTTTAACCTGGAGGAAAGCGAGCTTTATAATCAACCAAATTTTTAGTTAGCAAAATAAACAGGAGCAGGTTTTTACCACATTTTCAGTAAAGCTTGGAAATGTTTGCATTTTTTAAGGATTACAACTGTGCTCCTTTTTGGGTCACATGTTGGGCTGTTAAAATAATATCTAGGGTTATCATCTGGCAGCTTGGCTTTCACACCTCAATGGCTCTCCTCTAATGTACAGTACTGACGATGCACTGCCCGGACTTCTGCAGAGCGGCCTCAGCTCCCCTTGTCGGACTCACCCACTGAAGGCCTGGGGCGTCACTTCTCTTTCCCCAGTGCTCCTGTGTCGCTCCCACAGAAACGACATCAACATGGGCTGTGCCGTTCACCCACCATGTCCGTGTCCCCTACTCAACCATAGCCCAATCCAGCTGTCTATGGAATGAAAATAATTAAGAAAACGGTATGAAATGACGTTGTTTAATCAGACATAAAATCAGAAACATAGATGTAGTTGTAATTGTTTGTATTTTAAGACCGCAACAACATTGTCGCAGGTTGTGTTCCTTTAAATTGCATGTAGTTTCATTGCTCAGTCATTATTACAAAGTCAACATAATTAACCAGATTAGATTAGATTGATTTAGAATATTACGGTGCTGTTTTTATTGCTGTTTGAGTTTGTAAATTAAGGCTTTAACTGTACTGAATACACCTGTGGTCCAACGTCACATGAAAACTGTACTTTCCATGTGCAACCTTGATTGTTCCAACCACACGGCAGCTGCACTTTTATTTTAGATGGAAAACTTAAATTATATTGTGGACGTAACTTTTAAAAATGGATTGCAGAAGAATTTTCTGCTCTGTTATCACATGTATTCGTCCCTTTTCGTATAGACTTTTCTTCATTGTAGGTAAAATAATGAAGATAATAATTGGTTGCACATAGAGTAGATCTAATCGAATCATCAACTCTATTCATCTAAATATCTTTGAAAGTTCCCAAAGTTTAGCTGCACATCCATGCTACCTTTCATATTGCTTTGAAGAGTTATGTATTTGTTTTTCCTCCTCCTGTCTTGAAATGAATACAGAAACCTCTCCAGTCTGTAAGCTCAACATTAAGCGCATTGGCCTAGAATTAGCTGTGATTGATTATATTCCATTTCCTTTCACTACTCCCCACCCCCAGCAAACATACACTTAGAGCCCAGCCCACCTCACCACTTCTTGAACATTGGAGGAGTTGGAGGAGGAAGTCCCAATCCACTGTACTGTGTTCTTCTAACCATAAGCTTTTACTAACAGATCCATTTTTAACTTGCTATATGGGCTTGTTCACACTAAAGGGCACAAAAGTGTGACAAAAGGCCAAAAATTAAATTTTAATAATCAGAAGATATTTTATGTTTTTCATGTTTCCAAACACCTCCTCTGTTCATTAGAAGTTGCTAGAACATAACTGTTTTATACATTAGACAAGTTTCCTATAGCGGCCCTGTTTATTTTATCTAACGGACGTGATGATTTGACGGAATGAGCTTTGTGGAAGTTTGATAGGTATTTTCAGATGTCCACAATTGATTCAGAGATTTTATTTTTTTGCACAAAGTAGATGCAAAGTGATACTTTCATATTGTCAAGCAAATAAATGTGAAAACAGACCAGATTTTTTTTTCTCTCAAGTTTAATTTTTAGAGAAAAGAGGACGGAAACCATCACGTCCGTTATGCATTTTTCAAGGGTCATTTAATTAATTAATTATTTTTTATT